TGGGGGTTGATTTCCCTGCTGTGCAAGGCCAGAGTACAGCCAATCCTGAGCCCAGGCTCCATGCAGCTGGGGTTGTGATGTTCAGCCACACATGTGGGCTTGGCGTCATGAAGATGGAGCTCCAAGGCTGGAGAATGGCCATGGTTTCTGTTCCCCAGAGCAGGGTATGCTCCAGAGGTGGCTCTGGTCTCAAGATGGGGCTGTGCTGCAGCAGCTTGGCTCACAGGGATGGCTGGGGAGTGAGCAGTGCACACCTTGTGCTCCTAATCTGGGGCTATGGAGCTGCGCCATGAATTTCCTGCAGCTCCCAGAAGGCTCAGGGCTTGCGAGGACTGCAGGATTCCCCTGGTGTAAGGACTGTAGATGTTTTCTGTGGTGACGGGGACTGGTGGGGATCTGCTGCTTCCCTTTTCCCTGCAACGGGAAGTCCCTTCTGACTCCAGGCAGATCTGACCCAGGCAGGGGAGATGGGGCTGCAGAAGCCTGGTGCATCCACTCTGCCCTCCTGGACTTCCAGTCAACACAGGTGTCTCTCCACTCCCATGCTGCACTGTGCACTCTGCCAGATCTCAGCTCTCTTCCTTCCACACAGTCAGAGCTTAGCTGTGTAGTCATTGCCTTGGTCCTTTCTTGGGCGGAGGGAGCTGAGCACCAGCTCTCTCTGGTCAGTGTCTTCCTGACTTTGCTCCTACCATGCAAATATATATATATTTTATCTCACTTGATGCCTTAAGCACCAGTATGCTTGAGTCAAACAAAAGGAGACAGATTAAATCCTCATCATCAGGACTTTGAGTTAACAGGAGCCCTGGGACTTTATCAATCCCCTCCCCTTATCAATCTCCTTCTTTTATAAGTGAACACACCCGAGTATTTGTGGTTTAGTAATTGCCTTTCTACACTTCCCTCAGTCTGTGTGCATCCTGGTTAACCTGAAGGAGTTTTTCAGTGAGCAAATGCATCCTGAGGCTGAGGCCTGGCCCCAGCCCCTGGGGAAGGCTTATTATGATTATTAACATCACTGTCGTTTGTTGTTACTGTTCCTTGTTACTTTATTCATTCTCTTGGCAGTCCTCTCCCGTTCCTGCCAAAGTTCCACCGAATCTTCAGATTCAGATATTTGAAGTTTTCCATCTTACCCGTCAAAATAAAATAACATTTTATTGGGGCATTTTGGATTATGTTTTTGTTTTTATTTTTGTTTTAAATCAGAATCCAAGATGTTGCTTTTTAATTTGATAGGCCTGCTCACTAGAGGGCTTCATGCCATCAAATCTGCTGAGAAAGCAAATGATCTGTTTTGTGACCCTGTATCTCCTGGCTCCCACATTATGTTTTTATTTCCAAAAGTTTAAACAGAGTTTGAGTTTGTACTGGACGTGTAACACGGCACTTCATGTCCATTTGCAATCTAATTCAACGTTTCATCGTTTGGATTCAATCTGTTAATAAAGTCGATCTCAGATGGAGAATCTGGCTACTGCCCTAGTTCCTGGCGGCTGTCTTAAAGGCTGTTTATTTTCATTTTTGATTTAATTTATATCCACTCAGTTGATAATCAGACATGGCAGAACAGATTTCTGGCTTTGTATCAAGTTCTTGCTGAACTGTCTTTGTTCATCCGTGATTATCCCTTATTGTTAAGTTTGCCAGTTACTGACTTGAATGTCTGAATACAGTCAACAGAGCCTGTGTATCAAACGACACTTATTTAGTTACATGCAGCCAATGTAAAGCATGTTTTTGTGGTGGTGCTTGGCAGGATTGATAGACGTGATACACCTGAGACAAAATTTTTAGTGGTCAGAGGTTGTATGGTCTTTAATACATCACTTGTTCTTTTTTAACTCGGGTTCACCAGGCCTTGAACTGCCATCCACAGGACTGTTGATACCCGCAGCAGGCAGCCTTGGCTCGCACGGAGCACGTTGATGTGCAGTCCCTCCCTCCTGGCTGTTTTGTGTCTGCCTCTGGGAGAGTCCCTGACTCTGTCTGCATGTCGTTCACCCGTCTCCTCTTCCTCTCAGGTTTCCTTCTTTAAAATGAAGAGGGTGAATTAAACGTACTTTTAGCTCTAACGTTTGATGACAAAGAATTTTATGCCCTAAGTGCCTTTAAAGTTATCCTAGGAAATGGGATATAAATCAAAAACTGGATGCTACAGTAGGTAAATGTAAGGAAAAACAGCTTTTAGAGATCATTGCCTCTGAGCCAGGTGCTTTCACGGGTTATTTCATGGGAACCTTGTGATTCCTGAGGCAGGGGCCATGCGTCCCCACTGCGGGAGTGTGCAGGCCTCTTCAGGGGAGTGGCTCCAGATGGGCAATCCCATCTTGAAAAAGAAGGATGCTGTCAAGAGCTTGAAAATTTGGATAAAAGAAAGTTGTTTAAAAAGCCAAGAGAAATGAATCCTTCTTGTGAAATTAAGGGTATTTAGTATCAGGAGTGGGGAGGGTTTTTGGACAGGCAGGAAAGCATTGAAGCTGTTTGGAAAAATTAAACTTTGCTGTGGAATAATTTTGGATGTTTAAGATCGAATGATCACGCTGTGGAATGGAGTTCTAAGTCACGTGGGGGGCTTTTTGGACTCAGGCTTGTTTTTATGGCTTTGCATGTTTCTTGTATGGTGTCCCTTGAGCTTTCGGGTCAGACATTGTAGACCTTTGCATTTTTCATTTGCTTTTCTTTATGGTTAAAACTTGGACATTTGAAGACAGCAGTAAAACACTTTGGGGTGTGTGTTCCTGTGCAGTTCATACTGGAGCACTAGGATTACATTCTGGCATAGTACCAAAGGAACAGTATACCCTAAGTGAACAGCAGAAAAATGAAAATACGCCAGGAGAAAGGAGCAAGGGGCCTAGGCTGGTGGTTGGATTAGGGACTGGGAGGTCTGTTCTTACAGCGAGGCCAGGGGCTTGGTCCTGGTGGGTGTCGGAGTTTTGCTTCGGTGTTTTGAGCGTGAAAGGAACTGAAGAGCTGCTTCTGACATAGGGGATGTGACATTTTCATGTAAGAACATGCAGGTTCTGAAACAGTTTCTGGTACACAATAACTGCCCAGTAAATACTCAGTAGAGACGTAAGCTTCTTCTGTGAAAGCCGTGCCGGCAAGCTCTGCATCCCGGTGGTCGCTTCTGTGATGCATTAGAGACCACGGACTGACCCCAGCCACCGGCTGCTCCTCCCGGCATTGCCAGAGTCACCGCGGTCGAGCTTGTATCCCCACCCGCTCTCCCAAAAGTCATCCCAGGAAACTGGATACACATCATGGTAGCAAGTGACCTCCCAGTCTACCCAGTCCAATCAAGAGTTTGAAATAAGGACTCAAGCCACCTCTCGGCAATAGGTGGCATTCTGCGTCACCCATTCCCTCCCTCTTTCTTTCATCTGCTTTCTTCTTTTCTAATTTGCATTTGAGAAAGATTTCTACAGCAACAACATAAAGGACAGATGGGAGGGGTGCTGGACTGGAGGCAGAGGCCAGTTAGGGGGATAGCCAGGGCGCTGTTTCATTACACAGGACAATAGCAGCGGGCTTGGGGCAGTGAGCAACCCAAGGCTGCCTCCGAGGCACAGCCGAGGCTCTGTCCCCAGGCAGCATGGGGCTGAGGCTGGTGTTCAGTCATTGCTTCCTGAGCTGCCTCACCCAGATGCATGCCAGGGATTCCTGCAACCTTTCACCTCTGGGAAGACAGGAAAGGTTCACTATTTGATTATATCAGCATTTCACATCGGAGATCTCACAGAATCCAGACGCAACAAGACTCCGGCAGCTGCCCACCACCGCCCATCCAGCAGCAAGCAAATAACAAACAGCAACAACAACCACAAACAGCTGTTGAATCTCACAGCTTTTGTCTTTACAAAATAGGCCACTTCTTTGACATGTTATTGCAGATACACATGCACACACACAGACACACACACTACTAAGAAGACGGTGTGGAGGTATCATCCTAGCATCCGCTAAACACTGTTAGAAAAAATCCAGTGCCTCCGGGTTATTCGCCACTGCAGTTGTGGTTTTCATTCTTCCTGTTACCCCTGCTTTTTCATGAATACATATTTTGTTTTAGAAGTGGAACCAATCCAGGCTGGGCGCGGTGGCTCAAGCCTGTAATCCCAGCACTTTGGGAGGCCGAAACGGGCGGATCATGAGGTCAGGAGATCAAGACCATCCTGGCTAACACGGTGAAACCCCGTCTCTACTAAAAAATACAAAAAAACTAGCCGGGCGAGGTGGCGGGCACCTGTAGTCCCAACTACTCGGGAGGCTGAGGCAGGAGAATGGCGTAAACCCGGGAGGCGGAGCTTGCAGTGAGCTGAGATCCGGCCACTGCACTCCAGCCTGGGCGACAGAGCGAGACTCCGTCTCAAAAAAAAAAAAAGAAGTGGAACCAATCCAGGTTCATCTTTTCTTTGCTTAAGTGAAACTAAACTAATTTCAGATTTCTTGCTGAAAAATGCCTTTGCTTCCCTTACACAGGATATAATTTAAGAATACAGTCCAGCAAGATCGAAATTTGTTTTTGAAACAGACATGTTAGTTCCATGGGTTACAATGGAATATAATGATGTCTGAGATGTGATTTCTTTAGCCATTTGGAAACCTTATCTCTCCTGCGAACTATCAAAGGCCCTTAGAGTCAGTAATTCGGGTGTTTTACCCTCAGCCTAGGGCAGATTGAGGAGCTCTGTTGTGCATTCCTCAGTAGATGCGACTTTCTTTTCTCTTTATGGGGTTGGCAAACCTTGTCAGGAAAGTGTCAGGGAGTTAATATTTTCATCTTTGAAGGCCATGTGGTCTCCAACTCAATCATCCAACTTTGCCCTGGAGGAAGAAGCAGCCATACACAGCATGTAAACAAAGGGTGGGGCTGTGTTCCAGGCAAACTTCCTTGTTTACAAAAACAGGCGGCAGGCTGGGGTCGGTGGGGCTTGTGTTTAATTAACGCAGCCCACAAAGTCTTACGACATTGTTTTACTCTTTTCTCTCAGGAAACAGTTCTGGTGAAATGTGATCGTCCTGGCCACCCTCTGATTAATAAGACATATCATTTTGAAAGGTAAGTGCTTTTCAAGGTGCTATATAAAGCAAACTTCCACATTAAAAGTACAAGTTTTGCATTGGGGTTTGAGTAATGAAATGTGCGATTTATCCTATCATTTTTACTAATTGTGATTGTAAATACAGACGGTCCCTGATGTCGATTTTTCAACTTTAGGAAAGTGTGAAAGAGACACACGTTCAGTAGACACTGTGCCTCAAGGACCCATTACAGCCCTTCTGGTTTTTGCTTTTAGTACAGTAGTCAATAAACTACGTGAAACAGTCAACACTTAAGCGTACAAGAAGCTTTCCATTGGGTGACTTTGCCCACCTGTAGGCTAATGTGTGTGTTCTGGGCACATTTAAGGCAGGCTAGGCTGAGCTACAATGCTTGGTAAATTAGGTGTATCAAATGCATTTTCAACTTGCAATATTTTCAACCTACAATGGGTTTCTCAGGTTGCAACCCCATCATAAGTCGAGGGACATCTGTCATCCGTATGTTCATGGTTTTAAGTAAATCGACATTTTTTATGTATCCAGTTTGTTGACAGTGATTTCACTGTGATGCTAGCAACTAACTGTAACCTTTCTGTCAGATGCCTTCCTCGGCACCAGGTCGTGGTGTATCCCCAGGGTGGTGGGAGAGCCCTGGAAGGCTCAGAAGCAATGTGTGTGGCCTTTGCAAATCCCTGCTCATCCTCCTTCAGCTACCAAGGGCTGGCTGAGTGGTCCTGCTCCCAGGCTCTGCCCTCCTGCTCCTCGGAAGGACGTCAGTGCCTGGGGCCTCTTCCTCCCCCCAGCAGCAGCCTGTGTTGCTTGATAGGGTCACATCTGGAGAAGGGCAGAGGGCTCCCCTCAAGCCTCAGCTGAGCACTGACCAGCACAGGAGCGGGAGGAAGGACGAGGCCGGGAAAGAACCACTGGGGAGAAGCCTGGGAGACAGTCCGCAGAGCTCACACAGGCCTGGGAATTGTGACTGCTCCCGCCAGGGCAGAAATACCTCGTGATACACGAGGCCTTGGGTCCAGCGAGAAGTTAGCCCTGGAATGAAGTCTGCTTGTGCCACATGGCAGAACTTAAATGCAAGCCTTGAGGGATCAAGTTGTTTCCAAGTAACTGCTGGCATCCCATAATAAAGCTGAAGAAAAATTACTGGGATTGGAGGGTCAAAACATGGTGCACCCAACTAGGAGTAATTAGCAAAGTCTGACATCAGAAATTATCAGACATGATTCAAGGAAGTAGGCAAATATGATCTCTAATGAGAAAACTCAGACAACGGAAATAGAGCGAGAAATAATACAAATGATAGAATTAGTAAAGAAGGTGAAAACAGTTATTATAAATCTGTGTGTTCAAGGAAGTAGAGGAAAATGTAAACATGTTGAGAAGAGATATGAAAAATTATAAAAAGACCCAAATAAAACTTCTAGAGATGAAAGAAATACCATCGAGGAGACACGAACGTACTGGTTGGGATGCAGGAGAAAGATGGGTGAACTTGACACCGCAGCAACAGAAAGGACCAACGTGAAACTCCAGGAGACCCCATAGCGAGTGGACAGAGTGGGCTCCGGGGATGGCTGAGGCTGACGCAAGCCCCACAGTGTGAATGAGCTTGAGGCCCCTGCACGGCACACTTGAAATGGTGAAAATGGGACTAGGCCTATGTTTGAGTGCCCTGGACTTGCACAGCCATGGCACCTCCATGTCCTGCCTCCTGTCTCCAGAGGGCAAAAACCCTGCTTGTAAGCCCTGTTGCTTCTGTCTGGATTGGTTTCTCAGCCTGGGTGCTTGCAGTACCAATTCAAGCCTTCTACTCAGCCTTTTTCCACTCTTCATTTCTTGCACCTAGAAAGTTTCCTTCTTCTTTTCTTTTTTGAGAAAGAGTCTTGCTCTGTTGCCCAGGCTAGAGTACAGTGGTGCAATCTCAGCTCACTGCAATCTCCGCCTTCTGGGTTTGAGAGATTCTCCTGCCTCAGCCTCCCGAGTAGCTGGGACCTCAGGCATGCACCACCACACCTGGCTAATTTTTGTATTTTCAGTAGAGACAGGGTTTCACCATGTTGGCCAGGCTGGTCTTGAACTGCTGACCTCAAGTGATCTGCCCACCTTGGCCTCCCAAAGTGCTGAGATTACAGATGTCAGCCACCATGCCCAGCTAATATTTGTATTTTTAGTAGAGACCAGGTTTTACTATGTTGGCCAGGCTGGTCTTGAACTCCTGACGTCAAGTAATCCATCCGCCTCAGCCGCCCAAGGGCTAGGATTATAGGCGTGAGCCACCGCGCCCAGCCAGTTTCCTTTCTTTTTTCCCTTCAATGTCAGCAGCATATTTAAAAGCATATTTTGTTTCTATTTTATGTTGCATTAGTTACGTGTTGGTTAGGGGAGAAAAAGGGAGTTGTAGTATCTTAGCCGCCATGTGTCGAGATCTAGAGCTTCAGAGACAGTGCATTTTGTAGAATGCGTGTTATTACTCAAGGATTGCAATAATATTAGAATCTGTATAGTCTCATGCATTTGTATTATTTATTTACTGAAAAACATTTTACTTTGTGTATCTAAAACCAAATAACTTGATTTTTCCCCTAAAATAATCATATTTAAAATCTTACTACGAATACTCAAGAAAATTTTCATCAGTTTCACATGTAATAAAGTAGCTTCCTGAAGAAGCTTTCACACATGGTGCTGGTGGTTCAAGGGATTTGTAAGAGCAAAGCCAGTCTTCACGTGTAAGAGCTTTTTCTCATGTCTGTGCACTAAAAACAGTATAGAGAAAAATGATACTTTTTATCAGTGTAGAAAAGAAGCCAATTTATGAGCACTTTGTAATGACCCCATGGCTTAGCTTCATCATGTTTGTTTATGCAAACATTTGTGGAACTTCGCTTCCTTGTGACACATGGTTTTTTTTAGCAGTCCTTCAGTGGGCTGACCTTTCTTCCACTATTGATTTTGTCCTTTCTTGATAACTCAGTTATGCAGGGGAATAATCTAAGTAAAAACCTCTCTCTCTTTTTTTTTTTTTTTTTACTGTGCTTTAGAGTAATCTGGTGTTGGGCTAGGTAAGGAGGGAAATGGGGTTGGCCTGACTCCTTCCAGGAGGTTATATCATAGTTGAGACCTAGGCTTGGGATGGGGGGCTTGGGAGATCTTTACAATGATAGGTAATATCAACATTGGCAGAATAAGGTGAAGCAATCAAAATAGGTGACATAATTGGCCAAGGATGGAGAAGAAAGGAATGTTCGGGGCTGGGTGCAGTGGCTCACACCTGTAATCTCAGCACCTTGGGAGGCCAAAGTGGGTGGATCGTCTGAGGTCAAGAGTTCAAGACCAGCCTGGCTGGCTGGGTGCGGTGGCTCACGCCTATAATCCCAGCACTTTGGGAAGCCTAGGCGGGTGGATCACCTGAGGTCAGGAGTTCGAAACCAGTCTGGCGAACACGGTGAAACTTCATCTCTACAAAAATACAAAAATTAGCTGGGCATGGTGGCGCATGCCTGTAGTCCCAGCTACTTGGGAGACTGAGGCAGGAGAATCGCATGAACCCAGGAGGCAGAAGTCGCAGTGAGCTGAGAATGTGCCGCTGCACTCCAGCTTGGATGACAGCGCGAGATTCTGTCTCTAAAAAAAAAAGAAAGAAAGAAAGGAATGTTTGGAATGGAACAGTTAATGAGGGAAGCACCTCTGGGGAAGAGGCCTTGAGCCTGGACTCGGCTCTGGAGGTTTAGGTGGGACAAGCATCCCAACAAAGGCCGGAAACTCATCTGAGACGTGGGGACGCTCACTGATGAAGGACCTGGGGATGTGGCTTGGGAATGTCTCCTTCGTGAGGAATTCTCAGTTTCCCTGTGTCCCTCGGTCGGAGGCAGCTGCTCCAACTTCTCATTTCCTGCCCCTGCTTCATGTGTTGGAATAGCATTTGGCACACTGTAGTATCTGCTTCTACTGTTGTCTTCCCAACTGGAACAGGAGCTCCGCGGGACTGGGGACAAGGTCTTACCTTGAATCCCAAGAAATAAGCATTTCATTTAGATCGTGTTTGAATCGTGGGCTTGCTGGATGATGGCTGGACCATGTCAACTGGTGTCAGTGGTAGATACATTGTGGTAAAAGCTTTTTCCTTCCTCCCAACCCCATCTCCAATCCTTGTCCTTTGCTAGACTTGACTTGGGAAGTAAACAGCACCAGTTTAAGGAAGCATGTGGCCTACTGATAAAGGATTGGGTTGAATGTTTAGAGCCAAATGCACCCTTTGGTTAAAGTGCTGAAGGATTTAATGAGCACCTTCAGGCGCTTAGCACAGAGCTGCGGAGAAGGAATAAAGTAGGGTTGGATTAGGAATAAAAAGTTTAAAGTATGATCGTTTCCCCACGCGGCTTACACACAGGCTGCGGGTGTCGGTCATCACTGCAAAGCAGCCAGAGTCCCACAGTGTGTGTGGCCGAGTGCTGAGTGACAGAGAAATGCCTGTGGGCAGGAGAGTCACAGAGTGGCTAAAGCTTGAGCTGGGTGGAGTTTAGTTACATACGTCACCTTCACGTAGCCCTTGAGAGTCTCCAACTACTTTCAGGCTTTTGATCATCCCAGGAGGACCTGAGGAGGAAGCTGCGGGGGGCACCACTGCCCAGTCTAGTGAAAGGATGGCTTTTAGTAAGCGGTGGATTTGGGCAGAAGGTCTCAGTCTTTGGATGACACCAGGCTGCTGCTTAGGTCAGTGCAGAAGCACAGGCAAGGGCGCTGTGGTGAGGAAACCACCCTCGGGACTCACGTGACCTTGTTTGGGGAAGAAGGAAGTGGAGCAGCACCGGCCATGCCGACGTGCGTCTTCTCAGAGGGCTCCGTCTCAGTACGAGTACACTGAGGGTCAAAGGGAAAGGTCAAAATTGTGCTGCTTGAAGTGAACAGAAAATAGAAGAATTTGTGCAACTTGCTGTCTATCTATAGAGGAAAGGGAGACTTTAAATGTAAATCTCTGCAATAATTTATTCTGGGGTATTACCATTTAGTATTCGGGATCATCTTATTTTTAGAAACAGTGGAGCATATGGTTCTTATGAAATCAGAACATTGTTGGTTTTTATAACAGCTTTTTATGGAACTAATAAACGTCAAAATATTTTATTTCCATTCGGAAAAAAAAAAATTCCAACACCTTCAGCCCTTTACTTATTGTAAAAATAAATTTGTATGAGGGGAAAAGTTCAATTCTTACTATTCAGAAAAAATATTAATAGGCCCAGGGTCGGAAGAAGGTATATTTTCTATGTGAAATAAAAATATTATTTAAAAAAAACAAACAAACAAAAGTAATGCCATTGATCCAAAGTGCAAGGAGAAAAAGAATAAGTCATGTTCATTGTTTTGAGAATAATTCATTTATCAGAAGGCTGAAGGACACTCCTGGCTGTGTTCTTGTAGAACAGGAATTTACAATACGATATTCCTAACCGACACATTTGTGTTAAATTTCTATAGTCATTCAAGTGCAAGCATTTTCTGAGCACCTGTTATGTGCCAGGCACCCTGTTAGACACAAGGGATGTAGGTGAGAGGAAGGCAGCATTTTTGCCACCAAGACCTAGAGCTGTAGGGACGGTGCCCGGGAGGCTGCGCTGAGCACAGAAGCCACCAACACAACAGCGCGGTGGGAGGCAGAGATGGGGGAGGCCCTCAACCTGGGGCTCAACAGCTCAGCTAACCAGGAGTTAATCAGGCCGAGAAAAAGGGAAAGGAGGCTGGGGGTGGTGGCTCACGCCTGTAATCCTAGCACTTTGGGAGGCAGAGGCGGGCAGATTGCCTGAGGTCATTTGAGACCACCCTGGGCAACATGGTGAAATCCAGTCTCCACTAAAATACAAAAAATTAGCTGGACATGGTGGCACACACCTGTAGTCCCAGCTACTTGAGAGACTGAGGCAGAGAGAATCGATGGAACCAAGGAGGCAGAGGTTGCAGTGAGCTGACATCGGGCCATTGCATTCCAGCCTGGGCGACAGAGCAAGACTCTGTCTCAAAAAAAAAAAAAAAAAAAAGGAGAGAAAAAGAAAAAGGGAAAGGAGATTCCAGGTTGGGGGAAAAATGGTCAAAGTTATGGAGAAAAAGAATGAGACTGATAGGCTCCGAGCACAGGAGCCTTCGCTGTGGCTGGGCATGACTGTGGGAGGTGGGAGGTGGGTGCTGGGAGTGCCAGGTCCTAGGGCCAGTTTCCCACTAGCACCGGGGCCGCCCCTCCTCCCCCAGACAGCCACGTGAGCAAGGCCAGCTTCCCTCCACATCCCCACGGAGCACAAGGTCAGATGCATGGGTTGTTCCGGTCTGTGGGTGAGAAACAGGTTGTCTGTGTAGCATCTCTTCAGAGCGAGGTTGAGTCTTTTCGTGTGGTTCCGTCATTTGCATCTTTTTTTTTTTTTTCTGTGCGTTCTTCACTTCTCTAGCTATTTTCTCTACAAGGACTGACCTTTCCTTTCTGTATTTCTAGGAGCACTTGATATAGCAGAGATATTTAAGCTGCAACTACTTTCTCAGTCTGTTGTCTGCTTCTGATGTCTTTGAGCCACACGTACGTTTTTACATGATCATAGGTGAAAAGGCTGCCAGGTTCTAGAAGAACCCACCCGTGGACTCTGCTGGGACACGCATGGCCGGATGGTTTTCATTAAACTTGTGGTCTGTTAGGAATGTGTCCTAGTCCATTTTATAAAGAATTGATCCAATTTTATCTTTTTAAATCTCTTCATTTACTGCAACACCACTTATATTTTAAAATATTAATTTAAAATAATATTTTAAAATTTATTTATTAAAAAAAAGGATATTGAGATGGAGTTTTGCCCATTGCCCAGGCTGGTCTCAAACTCCTGGGCTCAAACGATCCGTCCACCTTGGCCTCCCAAAGTGCTAGGATTGCAGACGTGAGCCATCGTGCCCAGCCTGCATCACCACTTATTAAAACACCTCTGTCCCCACCAATCTGAGATGTCCCTTTATCTGACCCATTGCCACATGGAGTTGTGTCTGTCTGGCATTTCCCCCTCTTCCTTCGGCCTACTTACTAATTCACGCAGCAAGACCAAGCTGTTGTAGATAGAGTCTCAGAGAAGGTTCCAGTGTCTGAGCTCGCCCCATCCCAGTTCCTCTATTTTCCAGGGCTTCTTTCTATTCTCACTATTTTATTTTGCCAGGAAAAAAAAAAATTATAATAACTGTGGAGCTCCAGGAAAAACCTGACAGCATATACAGTATTTTGGGGGGATTGAGGTAAGTTTATAAACTAACTTTGGAAAAATGGGCCTCTTCATGAGTTGACTCTTCCATTCAGGAACATGCTGTGACTTTTCACTTATTTGAGTTTAATCATGTATTTTCAGGAGCCTTTTATCATTTTCTTTATGAAGGATTAGAACATTTCTTATTCCCAGGCATATTTTTGTTGCTATCACTAATAGAGTCTCATCTCCCAGCATGGCTTCTAACTCTATTTGTAAGAGGGCCATTAATGTTTTCACATTAATTTTATGACCTGCTGTTTTGTTAAATTATTGTATTGATTTAGTAATTTTCTTTGTCGTTTGAATTTGGATTTCTCAGATGTATGGCCGTGTTAGCTCCAAGGGGAAATTGTTTTATCTTTTCTGATTCTTATGTCACTAATTGATTTCTTTTGTCCAACTGCATAAGCCAATCATAGCTCAATGCAATATTAAATAGTATTGCAGGTAAAGAGTACTGCAGGTAAATAGTATTGCAAGAAAAGAGTATTGCAGGTAAAGAGTACTGTGGGTAAATAGTATTGCAGGAAAAGAGTACTGCAGGTAAATAGTATTGCAAGAAAAGAGTATTGCAGGTAAAGAGTACTGCAGGTAAATAGTATTGCAGGTAAATAGAATTGCAGGAAAAGAGTATTGCAGGTAGAGTACTGCAGGTAAATAGTATTGCAAGAAAAGAGTATTGTAGGTAAAGAGTACTGCAGGTAAATAGTATTGCAGGTAAAGAGTACTGCAGGTAAATAGTATTGCAAGAAAAGAGTATTGCAGGTAAAGAGTACCGCAGGTAAATAGTATTGCAGGTAAATAGTATTGCAGGAAAAGAGTATTGCAGGTAAAGAGTATTGCAGGTAGTCGGCATCTTGGACTTTTCCCTCCCATTACTGGGAAAAACTCCAATATTCTTTAAAGGTAAGATGTTCACAAAGCCTAAAATATTTACTATCTAATTTTTTTTGAGAAAAAGTTTGCCAACCCTTGCCATAGATTAGGAGACTTAGAAGGCAGCAATCCTGTGCAGTGTAGATGCCATGATGAATTATCATTTCTAAAACACTGACTGGAAAAAGAAACTTACTAGACAACTGAGGAAATGCAAACACTGACTTTTGGATGGTGCTAAGGAATAACTAACACTCATTTTTAAGGCATGGTCGTGGGAAGACTGTTATGTTTTAAAGTCATCATCCTTTACAGATGTATTGGCCTTTCCAGATGAAATGAACCTCAGGTCAGCTTCCGCATGAGAAGCAGGACAGGCCTGGGTCTGAAGCCGTCCTGGCCTTCCCAGATGAAACGGACCTCAGGTCAGCTTCAGCGTGAGAAGCAGGCCAGGCCTGGGTCTGGAGCCAGGCAATGTGCACATGGGGCTGACTTTTCTATTCTTTCTACTTTTGTATCTTGGTGTATTTTCTGAGTGAAAAGTTAAAAAGGATCTCAGCCCTGAGCATCTTCCCACACAGTGCTCACTGTACCCTCTAAATCATGCATATGGCAACACCTCATAAGGGTCCCCACTCTGTGTAAAATTAATCCCGTGGCTGGAGATGACATGGATCAACTGAGCGACAGGACACCCTTGAAAATGAAGGAAGGAAAAAACGTGGTTCCAGCTAAGTCAAAACCTGTAGTTCAGGAAACTGAGTTTCACATCAAAGCAGACCTGACCAAGTGCAACCACCCGCCACTGCTGGGCAGCTGCCAGGGAGCCTGCTCTCTCACTGTGCTCCAGGCTGCTTTCAAATTGTGCAGGAAACGGCAGTTTTTGGACATTGCTTCCTATTTTGTTTTATTTGTACCTGTTTATAGACCCAGAACCACATGAAGTTTCCTTTGCAGAGCAGACATCCAATCCCATGATATCGATTCAAGTTCTGCTGAACTGACCTGGGGCCTAGGAAAACAAGATTTTTAAAAGCTTGAACACAAAAAGCGAATGTTACATATCAAATATCGCTCAGAGTGTGAGTTTGACATTGTTACTGTTGGGCCCTCCACAGTAGAGCCGATTTAGTTATGGAATAATTATATCCTCCCTCTGTCCCTCCCTCTCTCCCTCCCTCCCCCCCTCCCCTCCCTCTCCCCCTCCCCCTCCCCTCTCCTCCCCTCCCCCTCCCCCCTCCCCCCCTCTCCCCCTCCTCTCTCCTCCCCCCCCCCCCCCCCTCCCCTCCCCCTCTCTCCCTCCCCTCCCCCCTCCCTCCCTCCTCCTCCTCTCCTCTCCCCCTCCTCTCTCCTCCCCCCCCCCCTCCTCTATTTCTCCTCCCCTCTCCTTTCTCCTCCCCCTCCCCTCCCTTTCCTTCCCTCCTATCTTGCAAGCATTTGTCACTTCATTTATGCTTATTACATTTTCATAGCAGAAAGTAGTATCTTTTTCTTAACCTCTGTTATCTTGAAAAATAACACAGATTAATCTTTTGTTGAAGAATTCCGATGGTGTTGCGGGGATGGGAAGTCCACGGGGGTATTGTGTTCCCAGGTTTCTGAGTCTGCATATGCTATAGTAGCTTTCTGCTTCTTCTATTAATGCAGTATTTTCCCTTTGTCTCTCAGGGTTTATGGTCCAGCAGAGTCTCAGAGTGCGGTCTTTGGAGATGTGTGTCCCCTACTCACGTCTCTCTTGGATGGGTGAGTGAAAATACTTTGAAGGCCAGTTAATCATAGTTACATTTGAATATAAAGAAGCTTCATTGTGCTGTGGAGTGAGAATGTCGCATTAGAGTCTGAGCATTTTACAGCACTGCAGAGCATGTCCATGGGTCACCCAGCGTGGACTCCACTTGCATCCATGGAGACTATCTCCACACCCTGGGAAAAGCAGTGAGAATGATTTGGAGAATGCTTGTTAAATGAGTATATCCACCTGGGATTCCAAACTCCATTTTAGTTACATTGTATGTGGGCTTAAGCCTGTGAATGCAGCTGCCATTCTCTCTGGGATTCTTTTATATTTCAGAATTAAAAAAAAAAAAATCTGTAAGGAATGTGAACGTCAGATTTAGGGACTTTTCCCTCTGGGAATCAGCCTTCTATTCTTGCAATATACAACCACTGATGTCAAAGGCAGCGGGTCGTAATTTAGGAATGAAGAATATTTTTTTACTTAATGGAGACACCTTAAGCCCATAGTTTCCACTCCGGGCATTTTGAAGAATCTCAGTTTTCTGGCAGAAATCCACGTCAAGTTCCTGACGAAGACTTACTTGCATTTGTCCAGCAAAGGCTTCTGCACAGCCAACCGCAAGGAACCTCAAGGACCCAGAAACTGCAATTACACAGTGTGCTGCGCGCCCCAAAGGCGCATGATCCGACCAGCAGGTCAACTCAGGAAGCTCCTGCGTCTGACCGCGCACGCACGCGGGGCCGCTCTGCCAATCATGATGCAGTTGCTGCTTCAACTCTTCCTCCAGAAGGCTGGAATTTGTATACCCATCTGAAGAAATGGTTTTGAAAATGATAGGGGAGTCTCCTTTCAAATAGGCATCTTTTAAGTAAGCAGATTCCAGAAATAAGAAAGACATCGTGGTCACAGTGATCACTGCCAGAACTGCCTTTCCAGGATAACGCGAAACAGATGGAGTTAGTTTAAGTTCTGAGTCTTGTCAGCAAAAAGAGTCAAAGTCTGTAAAATATTGGGAGAGATTTATCCTGAGCCAAATATGAGTGACCGTGGCCCAGGTCACAGCCCAGGAGGTCCTGAGAACATGTGCCGAAGGTGGTTGGGCACAGTTTGGTTTTATACATTTCAGGGAGACATGAGACTTCAATCCAGTTCATTTAAGAAATACATTGGCTCCGGAATGTCTGGGTTAAGGTAAAGGATTATGGAGACTAAAGTTCTTATTTGCAGAGGAAGCCTTCATGTGGCAGCTTCAGAGAGAACAGATCATAGATGTTTCTTGTCAGATGTAAGGTCTGTGTCAATGTTAACGCTGGAGGATATCATGAAGCTTGTCTGGCCCCCACTTCCTGTCGTGGCCTGAACCAGACTCTGAGATAAAATTTTAGAGTGCCCTGGCCAAGGAGGAAGTCCATTCAGATGGCTGGGGGCCCTTAGAATTGTATTTCTGGTTTACAGCCTCCTTCTTCAGGAAGTTTCCTTTTACTCTACATTCTTAAATGGTTGAAAGACCCCTGTAAGAACCCATTTATCTGTTGTGGTCAAAGATATTCTCCACACAAAGAAATGCATGTAAATGAATTCGGGGAAGCCGGAAGAGACGTAGCCTGTAGTGGGGTTTTGTTATGCATGCCTTGAGACTTTTTAATCCTGGAAGGAAAACTCACAGGATGGTAACGGAGAGGCCTCATCAGTTTGGCGGGAGCATGTGGTTTCCAGGCTCTTGTGGCTGGAATGTAACAGTCAACCCTAGTGACTCGAACGGTCAGCCCCAGGACTGGGCTCTGCTGCTTTTCCTATCCTGTTCTAGGGGTGATTTAGATGGCAGTCAATGAGAACACTGTCTCACAATCATTTTGTCAAAACAACAACCTTTATTTGTTTGACTTGTGGTGGATACACCACGTTAAACCGGTATTGATAAATGGGAGTCACAGTTGACCAGTTAAGTCAGAATTTCTGAGTGCAGGACTTGCTGAATGTCCCCAGGTGACTTGGATGAGGGGTCAGGGCTGGAGATCCTGCTCTGAGGCATGAACCCACTTAGCATCAGGCCAGGTGGACCCACACCTTTACAACCACGAACATCTTCAACATCATGACTGAGATGATTTTCTATCATACTTATTTTAAATAGTCTTCCAAATATTTCCGATCCTCCCATTCATACTTCAGGCTAAACAGCACAACTGGAAGGAAATGTGGGGATGTGTTGGTAGTTCTTATCTTCTCTGAAATAAGCTGCAGTCAGCTAATCGAGGGTCTTGGGGCCAAGAGGCGGCAGGTGCTACTGTCACAGAGAGCACCTCAGCACATGTGGATTGACTGTGGACATGAGCACCTCAAAGTCCCTTCCAATTACAAAGTACAAAAATAGTTTTTGTATGAAAACGTATACAAAAATGACTCATGCTTGTAATCCCAGCACTTTAGGAGGCTAAAACAGGAAGATTCCTTGAGTCCAGGAGTTTGAGACCAGCCTGGCCAACATGGCGAAACTCTGTCTCTACTAAAAATACAAAAATTAGCTGGGCTGATCTCAGCTACTCAGCAGGCTAAGGCAGGAGAATCGCTTGAATCTGTGAGGCAGAGGTTGCAGTGAGCCAAAATTGAGCCATTGCACTCTAGCCTGGGTGACAGAGCAAGAATCCGTCTCGAGAAAAAAAAAAAGATAGTTACAGTGAAGGTATGCGGATTTAGGAAGGCCTTGCTAAGGCCAGAATCCCTGTATGAATGCTGAGCTGGAGAACGAGGAGATGGAAATGCCCAGGAGAAACAGGGAAGGGTGAACCCACGCTGTGTGTGTGTGTCAGTGCAAATACCGTTTAATCCAATATCATACAACAAGATAGCAACCAGGATGGATTATGCAAAAAAAATAGTTGTGGTTAAATGAAAACGTAATTTATAAGAAATGGAGTAACAGGGGAATAGGGAATGAAATTTATTGAAGTTTCTCAGACAAGTGAAAATTTTTCCTGGAATCTTCTTGGCACTAGCCCTCTGTGTGTTTTGCTGGACTGAATCTGCTCTGAATTTTAGGTACAATGTTTGTGTTATGGCGTATGGACAGACGGGCAGCGGGAAGAGCTATACCATGTTGGGACCCCATTCGGACGACGGCCCTGTGTTGCCGCTTGACCCACAGAGTGACTTAGGAATTATCCCTAGAGCAGCTGAGGAGCTCTTCAGGTACCGCTGATGGTGATGAGTGGGGCAGAGAAATATGGCAGGGAAGCCAGGCAGTCAGCACCTTGGTTATCACACGGCAAAAATTATTACCACTTTTTTTTGAAGAAGGTGGTCAAACCCCATAACCTCATCAGATACATTCAACATTACCAAGCGCTTCCATACTTCTGGGCATTATTGCTACCAGTTCCTGTGATGAAATTATGTTCAAATTCTATCATTAAGACAAAACTTTTTTGAATCTTTAATTTTTTTAGAGAGAAGGTCTTGCTTTGTCACCCAGGCTGGAGTGCAATGGTGCAATCTCGGCTCACTACAACCTCTGCCTCCTGGGTTCAAGCGATTCTCCCTCCTCAGCCTCCCCAGTAGCTGGGATCACAGGTCTGCCCCACCGTGCCCAGCTAATTTTTGTATTTTTAGTAGAGATGGGGTTTCGCCATGTTGGCCATGCTGGTCTCAAACTCCTGACCTTAGGTGATCCACTCGCCTCGGCCTCCGAAAGGGCTGGGATTATAGGCATGAGGCACCGTGCCTGGCTAAGACAAAATTTCTTGAAAGAGATCCCGAGTTAGAGGGTTTCCTGGGTAGGGGTGGAGGTGGGGGATGGTGGGGGATGGAAGTTTTCTGTCCTGGAATGGGAAACACAGAGGGAAAACTCCCATTCTTCCATCGCCCTTCCTCCTGCCGCCATCAGGAGTGTATGCATCCACTTCTCTTTAGGGGTCCAGCCAACATGGCCTGCGAAGATGCTCCCGACCCTTTAGCACATTCTCGAAAGAGACCCACTGCCCGTGTCATGATTTCACCAACAAAATTAGTCCTAGAAAAAAAAATAGTAACAAGTCATTTCAGTAGCTGGGTGCGGTGGCTCACACCTGTAATTCCAGTGTGTCCAGAATTGGTGGGTTCTTGGTCTCGCTGACTTCAAGAACGAAGCGTGGACCCTCATGGTGTTACAGTTCTTAAAGATGGTGTGTCCGGAGTTTGTTCCTTCAGATGTGTCCATAGTTTCTTCCTTCTGGTGGGTTCGTGGTCTCGCTGACTTCAGGAGTGAGGCTGCAGACCTTTGCGGTGGGTGTTACAGCTCTTAAAGGCAGTGTGTCTGGAGTTGTGTGCTCTTACCGGTGGGTTTGTGGTATCGCTGGCTTCAGGAGTGAAGTTGAAGACCTTCGCGGTGAGTGTTACAGCTCATAAAGGCACCATGGACCCAAAGAGTGAGCAGCAGCAAGATTTATTATAAAGAGCGAAAGAACAAAGCTTGCACAGTGTGGAAGGGGACGCGAGTGGGTTGCCACTGTTGGCTGGGGCAGCCTGCTTTTATTCCCTTATCTGACCCCACCACATCCTGCTGATTGGTCCATTTTACAGAGAGCTGATCCATCTATTTTGCAGAGAACTGATTGGTCCATTTTACAGAGAGCTGATTGGTCCATTTTGACAGAGTGCTGATTGGTGCATTTACAATCCCTGAGCTAGACACAGAGTGCTGATTGGTGCATTTACAATCCTGTAGCTAGACACAGAGTGCTAGACAAAAAAGTTCTCAAAGTTCCCACTAGGTTAGCTAGATACAGAGTACTGATTCGTGTATTTACAAACCTTGAGCTAGACACAGAGTACTGATTGGTGGATTTACAAGCCCTAAGCTAGACACAGAGTGCTGATTGGTGCATTTACAATCCTTTAGCTAGACACAGAATGCTAGACAGAAAAGTTCTCCAAGTCCCCACTAGGTTAGCTAGATACAGAGTGCTGCCAAGCGGTGGGACTCGCCTATCGCCAAGTGGCAACCCGCTCAGGTCCCTTTCCACACTGTGGAAGCTTTATTCTTTTGTTCTTTACAATATATCTTGCTGCTGCTCACTCTTTGTGTCCACACTGTCTTTTTGAGCTGTAACACTCACTGCAAAGGTCTGCAGCTTCCCTCCTGAAGCCAGTGAGACCACGCACCCACCAGAAGGAAGAAACTCCAAACACGTCTGAATGTCAGAAGGAACAAACTCCAGGCACACCATCTTTAAGAACTGTAACACTCACCGCTAGGGTCCGCAGCTTCATTCTTGAAGTCAGTGAGACCAAGAACCTACCAATTCCGGACACATCAGCACTTTGGGAGGCCGAGGCAGGAGGATCACGAGGTCAGGAGTTTGAGCTTGCATGAGTTGTGCATGTCATTAAATATTCGACCAGTCATTTTTCCTTCTGCTAAGCAAACTCTTCAAGTTCCAGAAACTTTAAGGCTCAGGCAAGAGCACTGGGGAACTGAGGTAGAAAGTGGGAGAGAATGGTGGGAGTTTCCAGACTCCCTCCCCACCCCGCGCCGCGTTTCTTCTCATCTGTGAGAGCGGGGACACCGTGGTGGAACGAGGCAATGTGGCCAGGCAGCACGTCCCAGAGGTGGACTTCCTAGTGTTCCCAGTCTGAGCTGCATGCTTGCTTCCAAGGCCATTTCCACCCTCAGCTGGGCTTAGAGAGGCAGGATGCACAGCCAGTGAGAGCAGGCCTCATACTTTGACCTATGGAAGCATACCCAGGATGGCAGAGGGCTGCGAGGGGGCGGGAGCGGCGCTGCGAGGGGGTGGGAGCGGCGCTGCGGGGCAGGAACTGCGCTGAGGGAGTGCTGGGAAGGGCTGTTAGCTGCCTAAAAATGTTGGGGAAGATCCATCAGGACCATGGCCAGTCGGCTGGGCCTCTCCGGAAACCGGATAATCAGCGTTGCCAATGGGCCCATCGCATAACTGGCAAGCATTTCAGTCGCCTCCTTTCTAAAATGGTTTTTCCGTTTTGCTGTTCTGAGCCTCGGGTGCTGTGCGTCTCCCTCCAGGGCACAGTGATTTGTGGCACTGGAATCCCTCAGTCTGAGTCTCAGATCTCTGCTCTTCCAAGTGAATGGCCCTGGGCAAGGCCCTACTCTCCCTGTACCTCTCTTTCCTCGTTTGCAGAAACGAGAATCCGAGCAGACACGGACCGTGTCCTCCCTCGTCACATCCACACCTGGAGAGGGGTGCGCTGGGCCAGGGCTGGGGGTGAGCTTGGGTGTTCGTGACTCAAGTTGCAAACGGCCCTCTGCCCAAAATGATACACAACCACAGTGACGTCAGTGCTGATGTCGGAGATAGTTTACAGGAACCCTTGACCCTGAAAACCGCTACTCTTAGATTGCTGAAGGCACCAGAGAAGCCATTTCCTGTTGTTTTAAAGTAAATAAAATGCTACTGCCTGGATTCCTTGGCTCTGCACGTCCCTCTCCTTCCTTCTAAACCTGGTTGTTGACACCGCCTCCTTCCCGACTGGTCTCCGCTGTCATCCTTATCAACAGGAGTGTGTGGTGTTTCTCTACCTGCTACGCACCATCAGAGGCACAAGGGATCCAAAAGTGCATGTGATCAATTTTCTGCTTTTAAAAAGTCTAGAGTGGTAATGGGTAATTATGACCCAGTAGGAAATGGGCAGGAAAAGATGGCAGAGACAAAGCATGGCCCTGCCCCTCCCCACCCCAGAGAGTCGGGGAAGCTGCCGGTGCATTTGAATCACACCCATTCATCGCAGGACCCGGAGTCCTTTACCTGCGTGTCTCCTTCTCAACACTTTGCTGCTTAAAGGCTAAGACTGAAGCTTGTGGTTTTCACCGTTGTCCCTAGAATCTAGTCAACAGCCCAATAATGACTTGTGGGAAATCTCTCAAATTAACTCCTCGGTATTATGTAATTGAGAAATTTCTAAGTTAGGTTTTGCGACACTCAAAGAACAAACTGTCACATAAAGGATGGGCCCAAGTGTGGAGGTTAAGTTTCTGGCTATGTGGTGCATTTTTACCTAACGTGTGGAGAGGAGGAGAATGTAAAAACTCTAGGCTGGGCACAGTGGCTCACACCTGTAATTCCATAACGTTGGGAGGCTTAGGCGGGTGGATCACCTGAGGCCAGGAGTTCGAGACCAGCCTGGCCAACATGGCGAAACCCCATCTCTACTAAAAATACAAAAACTAGCCGGGCATGGTGGCGGGCACCTGTAATCTCAGCTACTCAGGAGGTTGAGGCAGGAGAATCAACTGAACCTGGGTGGCAGAGGTTGCAGTGAGCCGAGAATGTGACTCTGCATTTCAGCCTAGGTGACAGAGCAAGACTCTGTCTCAAAAAAATAAATAAATATAAAGTAAAATAAAATCTGTAGCTAACTTCATTTTTCACTGTTGCACACACTCTTCTCAGAGTGTTCTCACCTAACCCCAGTGCTGAACCTACCTAATCCAAATCTTGATGCTTTGCCAATAATGATTTTTACCTTAAGAGTTTTACTTACTTTCTCTTTCATTTTAGTCTTCATCATTTTCTTTACTGTTTATCATTAGAAGACAAAACTCCTCTAGATCTGGATGAAAAAACAGCCTGGCAGCGCCTGGGTGGGAAACATCCCAACTGGATTTTCCCTCGAGTACAGATAGCACCCTGTCACTCGGGACTTCTCGCCCAGTTCTCAGAATAGCCTTAGGAACAAGAAAAGCACAATGCTCACCGTGGGATTGACATCACCTTGCATGTGGTAGGGAGGCAGCCACCTCCAGCAGACAGAAAGAGGCCTTTGTTATTTGGTGACAAGGTTGGAAGGGGAGTTTTGTCAGAGACAAACCAGAAAGCCAGAGGGAGGAGAGAGGAAGGGAGGGAATCCAGGGTTAGCGCTCACCTTTTTCTTGCTGTGGGATTACAGTTTTCTTTCTCTCTCTCTCTCTCTCTGTAGTATCTTTATTCAAAAACATTCCTACAGTCAGCACATAGTTCTTTAAAACATGGAGCAAAATAAGATGTGCAGCTGCTTTTTTTTTTGTTTGTTTGTTTTGTTTTTTTTTTTTTTGAGATGGAGTTTCGCTCTGTTGCCCAGGCTGGAGTGCAGTGGCCGGATCTCAGCTCACTGCAGCCTGCACCTCCCAGGTTCAAGCGATTCTCCTGCCTCCGCCTCCCAAGTAGTTGGGACTACAGGCACACACCAGCTAAGTTTTGTATTTTTAGCAGAGATGGGGTTTCACCAGGTTGGCCATGATGGTCTCGATCTCTTGACTCGTGATCCACCCGCCTCGGCCTCCTGAAGTGCTGGGATTACAGGCGTGAGCCACCGCGCCCAGCTGTGCAGCTGTTTTTTAAGGAGCCGGAGTTGGTTTGATGGGTCTTGCTTGCAGGAAAGTTGCAGTTGGAAGGCATAAGTGGAATTGGAATAAAGAAGCTTCCCTGAAGTGGAAAAGTTTTAAAATGAGCAAACCCCATCACTGGAGAAGTGCTAAGGCCCGAACATCCTTGCGCCTTGCCTTGGGTGTCTGCAGTGATCGATCAGTGGGGCATGGTAATTTCTAGACCACAGCCATGTGATATTCAGGCTTCTTTGCCCTGTGTATTTAGAATCCTGTGTTCTGGTTGCAAAGCTCTTGGTTTAAATATAACTCTGATAAAATAACTGCTCCCAAGACACGTATTCACCCTACAACCTAAATGGCACACCCCCTTTCCCCGAGTGATCTTGGGGTGAGTAACGTGCAGCCCTCTGCTCGGACCCCACCAGTCTTACTGAGCATCCTCTAGGGCGTCTGGAGCTGTGATTGGCTTACACTGAAAATCACTCTGTGAGACTTTCTGTAAGTTTCTCTTGCGTGTTTTCCCACAGGCTGATTTCGGAAAATCCCTCAAGAAGCCCAAAGGTTGAAGTCTCCATAGTGGAAGTTTACAATAATGACATTTTTGACCTTCTGGCCAAAGACACTGTTGCAGCAGTGTCAGGGGTCAAGCGTGAGGTGATGACAGCCAAGGACGGACGAACAGAGGTTGCGCTGCTGGCCTCTGAGTGAGTACTGCACTTGCCCTGTGCTGCTGGCCTCTGAGTGAGAATGGCACCTGCTGCGTGGTCAGGAGGCTGGACGTCTCTAAACGAGCTCCCCACGCCCAAGGATCCCAAGGAGAATAGGCCGTGGTGGCCCAGTCAGTGCTCCTTGTCACTGAATGGTTCCTTGTGTGTTTTCATGCTTTGTATGTATTGCACAATTGTCAATTTGCTGTAAGAATGATCTTTCTTTAAAGTTGGCTATGTCGGGATGATATATTTGTTAATTAGCTGGAATAGGTGATCATTTCACAATGTATTCACATATCAAAATATCAAGGTGTATACTTTAAACATATACCATTTTCATACGTTATTAATATCTTAAAGCTGTTAGAGATAAAAGTAAAAAAAAACAAAATATTTTTACAATCAAAATTAAAATAAACAAATAAACGTAGCTTTGAAAAAATCTTCGTAAGAGCACCTTGGACGGGCGTCATCCCATCTCACAGATGAGGAAGCAGGCTTGCAGAGGTGAAAGAACTTGCCCACCCGACTCAGGCTAGGAGAGATGAACTTATCCACACTTGTAAATATCAGTATTTCATAGAATATGTAATGAATCCTCTTATAAAAGTGAGGATCCCCCATATTAAGTATTTTCCTCAAAGTTCCCAATTTTCAAATCCACATGCACGTGCTGGATTTGCCCCAATGGGGGTGCAGCTGGGAGCTGACAAAAGGAACCCTCCCCACGAGTGAGGGCCCGGAGAGGCTGCCCATCCTGGGCCCCAGAGGCAGCAAGGGAAGGGCCGCCAGCCATGCCCAATATTTCACAGAGCTGAAGGAAATCATCCGTGCAGCCCTGATACGGTCACACAAAGTCACCTGAAATTTGAGCCTCTGACTGACAGCTGTGATGGAAATGTTGTCTCCTGCTGACTAAGAGCTCTGATTAGCAGTCACATCTCATCCACTAACATGGGGAAATGGGTTAAACCTTTATTTCATAAATCAGATTTGATGCACAAAATACTTTTAAAACATGGTCACTGGAGGCTCTAATAAATAAAGGAACAGTTGATGTTGGAAAGGTTAGCAACCTCTGATTTTGTTCGGAAGCAGTCCGTTATTTCAGGGTTAGCGATTAGAGATGCTATAGGTTGGTTAGGCCTCGAAAGGAAAAAGTTTGCTTTACCATGTTTTGTTGTGCCCAGGACTGGCTTTAGTCCCCCATTGGCATATGCGTGGCTCATGTGAGAGGAGCGGAGGAGGCTTGGAAGTCGCCTTGGGTAAGGGGGGCCGCCCGTGCTGTGTTCCCCACTGCTTGCCTCGTCTGTAGGGCTGTTGGCAGCGCCTCAAAACTGATGGAGCTCGTTCGTGGAGGTCTGCAGCTCAGAGCAAAGCACCCCACCCTGGTGCATGCGGATTCCTCCAGGTCTCACCTGATAATTACGGTGACTCTAACAACAGCCGCCTGCTCTGATAGCACTGGTAAGTCACCATTTGTGCTTGGTCAGTGGCAAGTAATAGAAAAACCCACTTAAGGAGAAAAAAAAAAATCAGGCCAGGCTCAGTGGCTCACGCCTGTAATTCCAGCACTTTGGGAGACTGAGGTGGGTGGATCACCTGAGGTCAAGAGTTTGAGACCAGCCTGGCCAACATGGTGAAACCCTGTCTCTACTAAAAATACAAATATTAGCTGAGCATGGTGGTACACACCTGTAATCCCAGTGACTCAGGAGGCTGAGGCAGGAGAATCGCTTGAACCCAGGAGGCAGAGGTTGCGGTGAGCCGAGATTGTGCCACTGCACTCCAGCCTGGGCAACAGAGCAAAAACTCTGTCAAAAAAAGAAGGAAGGAAGGAAGGAAGCAAGGAAGGAAGGAAGGAGGGAGGGAAGGAGGGAGGGAGGAGGAGGAGGAGGAAGAGGAGGAGGAGGAGAAGGAAAAAAGAAGGAAGAAGGGAGAAGAAGAAAAATCAGTGTGCCTGCAGCATCCAAGGCCTTTCACAGGACCCAGCATGGGAATACCAGCCACACTTTTTCACTATCTGCATCCCAAACCGAAAAGGCCACTGGGATCACAGGCTGAGAAGAAAAAGTGAGAATGGGAAGGAGGAAAACACTCTGCTAAATAAAATATAACACAGAGAGAAAAGCAGGGCATAATACACTTTGGAGTACATGCATTTGTCATGGAAGAAACAATGAGTGTAGTTTCAGTTTAAAACCCAAATTACAAACTATGCAGTAGATGAAATGATTCCAGTTACGTAATGTATCAGAAAGAACACAAAGGCCTGTGAAGCCTGGGCTGCAGCTCTCCAACTTGAGCTGCGTCCAATCCCCTGCAGCAGGTGGTGGGAACAAATAGCAGACACCAGCCATGCTCAGGTTCAGCAGGGCTGGGACTGGACCCCAAACGTGTGTTTCTGCAAGAGCACGGCTCCGGGGACCACACCTGGAGAACCACGGGTCTGGGGCCGGAACATGAGACTGTAGTCCCATTGAAACCTGGTCTCAGTGGGTTGACACAGGAAAGACCATTTCTCACTCGTATCGAGGGCCAGTGTGGCTGAACATTCCCCATCTGTCTTCCCACCGTGGCACTTGAAACATGTGACCTCCAAGGTTGCTCGGGCAACGGAAGGTGAGGTGACGGGGACGTGCTGACAGTAGCCCCTGGCAGCCCAGAGCAGGCCACAGCTGGGCACAGGGCCTTGTACCCGCAGGGGGCTGGCAAGGCACAGGCGCCTGATGTTTAGGGAGCACCAACAATCTCTACCAAAAACACTCCCGATACAGGGGAGGCGTGGCTGCCCTTGGTGGTGGGAATAAGACTGGATTTCATGTCCTTAAAAAAAATTTGTATGTACTTTCTATGTTTTACACACTGAGTAACTGTTATCTTGCTTTTTAAAAAACCCTAAGAAGTTTGTGTAGGAATAACACACTACAAAGACATTTGCATTAAAATGAAGAGCCCTTTTGTTAGGATTTGTGTGGAAGATTATCAAGCAGATTGTAGAATTTATTTCTAAAAGGGCTCATAGATTTTCTGAGTGGGATTTTAATTAACATTGTTATCAAGTCTTTCTAAGAAGCAGTATTTGATTTCCTTTGGGCCAATGAGGCATTAGTTCAACCTTCCACAGTGAAGAAAGCTGCTTTCTAGCTTGCTGTGTTTTCCCCCCGAGAAGCCACTGTCCCCTGGACCTCTGCTGAAATCCCACTTCTTACTGGGTGGGAGGTGTGGGCAGGAGGGTGCAGTTCAGAAGCTTCTCAGCCTTGACCAAGGCAAAGCACAGCCTCATGGGTTCATGCAACTGTTTTCCTCCTCGTTGCTCCCCTTGCAGCAGACCAAGCCTGCAGTGCTACCCTCCCCAGGGAGCAAACAGAGGCAGGAAGGGCAGGAAGGAGCCGCAGAACTTCTCAAGGGGCCTCAGCTCCACAGCCGGTTCCCGGGGACCCCGCAGGGCGTGCGGAGCAGGTGCAGGCCCGGCTGCAGCTCGTGGACTTGGCGGGCAGCGAGTGCATTGGTGAGCAGGAACAGGCATTTCCCTGGGGGGTGGACGCTGCAGAAGCCTATGATCTGATGGAGCTGGGTGTACAGCCAGGCAGCCTGGGAAGCTCTGGGCGGGCCAGGCGTTTCCCCCTCCACAGATGAGTTCCAAATCCCCATTACATTCTCAGGGGTTGGTTCTCTTACCCCGGCAACCCGAGAGTCGTGTTCCTCACACTGGCCCTCTGGGAAGGGAAAACCTGAGTTCCCAGCAGGAGCTCGCTTTGAGCTGTGAGCAGAGCCATGAAAGACCCTCGCTCTAATGCCTGTCCCATCCATGGCCTCCCCTCTACCTGCCTGAAAGCCGCTCCTCCCAAGGAGCTGGTTTTGCTTTTCCTGCCTTCTTTCTTGGTGCAAATGGTGATGGTGCGTGGCGGTCCCTGTCCTGTCCCAGGTGTGTCCGGGGTGACCGGGTCGGCCCTGAGGGAGACAGCGTGCATCAACCGCAGCCTTGCAGCCCTGGCAGACGTCCTGGGGGCTTTGTCGGAGCACCGCAGCCACATCCCGTACCGGAACAGCAGGCTCACCCACCTCCTTCAGGACTGCCTCGGTAACCGTTTTCCCCCAAATCCCCCAAGATGGGACACCACGTGCCCCAGGACACGTGCACACACGTCCAGCCTGCACATCCTCGAGGGCCACCCGTGTACCCCCTGCACCTCCTGTGCCCTCGCTGTGGCTAGCTGGCACTCCCATGGCACGGTGGTCATTCTCCTGCACTGTCTCACCTCGGCCTGGTTGCTTGCTTGTTCGGTCTGTGTGTGACTTGCCTACTGGTCGGACTCAGTTTCTCAAGGCTGGCAGCCCTGACCCCTCTCTTCACCAGGGAGTCCACCAGGGCAGCTGAGGGCTCTCTAGGCTGCTGCTGTGTGTGTGGCGTGGGTCCCTCCAGCTGTATGGACCTGCTTAGGCTGCAAGTTCCTTGGGTCTTGGGGGCAGGTGCCAGAAGCCTGGATGCAGCAGATGAAGCATCAGTGCCAGGTGGGGCACAGGCAGCCTCCGTGCAGAGTCATCCAGCTGTGGCTGGATCTGGGCTTTGCAGTTTGCGGGGGAGCTCAGTTAGTGCCCCCTCCCCCCACTCAGACTCCAGACCGGTTGAAAGGGAGGACCCGAGGAAGCATTGCTGCTGCAGGGTGGCCTCTGCCAGGGCTGGGCTTCCTGGCTGAGGGTCCAGGTGGAGTCCCCCAGAGGTGGCCCTGGGCCCTGTAGGCCCTGTCCTGAGAAACGGCCACCACAGGACGGCAGGGGCACGTGGCCACCACAGTGGAGGCTCCTCCTTCCTGGGAGGACCACCCTGGGAGGTGGTGGAAGGGCCGCTGGTGGTGCTCGGGACTCGGGGAGGCCAGAATGTTCCAGACACTATCCCTATCTCTCATTGTGGGGTATTTCCCCCTCTCATGGCAAACTGGCTTCCTCCACACGGTGAATAACGGGGCTGTTCACAGAATCATATTTTTGGATTCTACCTCTAAGACAGAGACCACCTTGGTACTCTTGGATTCCAAAGCTTGTAGCCCCAACTGAGAGACGGGGCAACCTAGGCTGGGTGCACAGCCCACCGTGATCTCAGGGGCGGCACCACAGGGCACACAGTGCCCGAGAGCCAGCAGTTCCCGCAGGGACCCCCGGCCTTGGCCTCTGGGGTCTGCACTTTTCCTCCCCTTAGCTCTCCCTGCCTTCTCCGTTGGTTTTGGTTTCCATCTGTCCCGCTTAACCCTTGCTACGGGTCCTGAAGAAAAGGAAGAGACAGAATTCCCCCAGGAGGAGAAGTCCTGGGCACACAGCCCCTGCCCCAGTGGAGCCTGAGGGAGCCACAGGGCCGTGAGCAGCAGGTGTGGGCATGAGGGAGCTCTGGAAAACGCAGTCCCAGGGGGCCGAGCGCACCACAGGGTCACGTGCAGACTCACCCCGTAGGGCTGACTTCATGCCTCCCTCCCAATTCCCGGGACACAGGAGTGTGAGAAGGCCTGCAGCTTCCCCGGGCGAGGGGTGCTAGTGACCGGCTGCTGGCCCTCCCGGACCCGGGCGAGGGGTGCTAGTGACTGGCTGCTGACCCTCCCGGACCCGGGCGAGGGGTGTTAGTGACCAGCTGCTGACCCTCCCGGACCCGGGTGATGGGTGCTAGTGACCGGCTGCTGGCCCTCCCAGACCCGGGCGAGGGGTGCTAGTGACCGGCTGCTGACCCTCCTAGACCCAGGCGAGGGGTGCTAATAACTGGCTGCTGACCCTCCTGGACCCGGGTGAGGGGTGCTAGTGACTGGCTCCTCACCCTCCCGGACCCTCCTGGACCCGGGTGACGGGTGCTAGTGACCAGCTGCTGACCCTCCCAGACCCGGGCGAGGGGTGCTAGTGACTGGCTGCTGACCCTCCTGGACCCGGGTGAGGGGTGCTAGTGACTGGCTCCTCACCCTCCCGGACCCGGGTGATGGGTGCTAGTGACCGGCTGCTGGCCCTCCCGGACCCGGGCAAGGGGTGCTAGTGACCGGCTGCTCACCCCCCCAGACCCCGCATCCCAGGAGCCTACCAGACGTGGCCAGTTTCCCGCTGGGGCGCTGGGCAGCCCTCTCTGCAGCTGCCCCTCTCGGGCCCTGGTTGCCAGCACGTTGGCACTTCCAGATGCCACTCTTCTTTCCGGCTTGCATGTTGTTTTTCTTTTTTAAAGGAGGTGACGCGAAGTTACTGGTGATTCTGTGCATTTCTCCCAGCCAGAGGCACCTGGCACAGACGTTGCAGGGCCTGGGTTTCGGGATCCGAGCTCGGCAAGTCCAGCGAGGCCCTGCCCGAAAGAGGCCGCCCAGCTCCCAGATGGAGGGGAAGAGGAGGCCGGATTGAACGCATTAATGAGTTTTTCTCCTAAAACTGTGTGTTTTGTCATTGCTTATAATGCATATGTGCTTAGAAATAAACAGGTTTCATGTGGACTCGATAAACCTGGCTTTATTCCAAAGCACCCTCATGAACGTGGATGGGACCTCCAGCTGCTGCCAGACGATCACGCAGAACAGGCTCCACAGAGGAGCTCCTTGCAGAGCGGCGGCCACCAGGTGTCACAGCAGGCACTCGCTGTCCTCATCAGACTCTCCCCAGAGGCCACCCTGGGCCCCAAAGGCCCTGCCCCGGGAAACTCGGGAGCCGGCAGGAACGGCCGTGGGCAGGAGGGCAGGGGCGTGAGCGCCCCACAGTGGGAGCTCCTCCTTCCTGGTGGAGCTGGTCAGCCTGGGCCCACTGCAGACCCCACCTGTGAGTCTGGGGAGGCGCTGCTGAGCATGTACGGCCCCAGAGCCCCCAGGCCTCACACACAGCTGCCACCTCTGCCTCCTCGAGTTTGTGCTTTTCCTTTCACCCCGGGCTCCCTCTTTCTTCACCACTGTTTTTGGTTGTCCACCACACTCCGCATGAGGAGCTGTGTCAGGGAGGGAGGGGGCGTCTGGGGCCAGCCTCACACCTGTCATCTGATTTGACACAAACGCGGCCCCCGGGATTCCCCACTGCAGACTCCAGGACCAGGTGGACTCTGGTTTCCATGGTGGCTCTGCCACCTCCCAGCTCTGCATCCCTGGGTGGTTTGCTTGGCCTCTAAAGCCCAGCTTCCTCCTCTGCAAAGCCAGGTGAGACCAGAGGGTTGCGAGCCTTAAAGGAGACAAGGAACAGCTCTGGAGACTGGCCTGTGACTTCCCATGCCATGGGGCTGGACTGGCACGTTTAAGCCCCACTCCACCGCAGGGCTCCTCTCTGCCTCACAAGGGGATGATGGTGAAGACAGCTGTCCACCACATCCTCTGCTGGAAGGATGGCCGCTGGGGCGTCCCCCATTTCCACTGGCCCCACAGTGATTGATGTGCCCTCTCGGACCCAGCAGGTACAAGAGCAGGGTCCCAGGAGGAACACATGTTCGGAGGAATGGGGTGCGGGTCACAAGCACAGACCAAGAATAACACTCCATTTCCTATCAGCAATCATTTTGGCTCTGAGAATAGGCTGCGAAGCAGGTTTTGGAGAGGAGTCACAGCTGGTAGCTTTCAGATGGTTTCAACGCCAGGAAAATGCTTTTTTACTTTATCCTGTTTATGTGAGAGAGAGGTAAAATGTCTTTTCTAGTAGTTAGCACAAACCAAGCAAACCTGTGCCCGTGTGCGGCTCAGGTGAGGAGCGTGAGCTGCGGTGGCCCTGACTCATGGCGGGCAGAAGGGTAGGAACCCCCTCCCTTCCAGGGAGCCCAGAGCAAGGGGTGGGGACAGGCAGGGGGTGTTCAGGGTCCAGTGTGCTAATGGCCTTTTCCTGTACTCCTTTTCCCAGGGCAGAGCATTCTGCCTCACTGGGGATGGGGACCCGGCCTAGGCTGCTGGGTCCAGTTTTTGGTCAGGGTGGCCAGGAGGGCAGGTGCACAGGGCATCATGCACTGAAGACAGAGATGCTGGGCCTCTCCCTGCCAGGAAAGGATTCAGCCCAATAGTGGGGCAGAAAGCAGAGGCATCTGCTTCAACTCATGGTTTTTAATATAATCAGGGAGAGATGATAGAGAATAGATAGGTAGAGAGATGGTAGATGATCAGTCAGTGAACAGATGACAGCTCTGTAGATCCATGGATGATAAACTAATCCGTAGACCAGATTTAATCTCGTGTATCAAAAATATGATCATCCCAACGTGTAGTCAATATGAAATCAATATAAAGACATTAATGAGATATTGTAGATTTTTTTGTCCACACTAAGTCTTCAGAATCTGTGTGTGTTTCCCACTGACTGACAGCGCCCCTCAGCACAGGCTGGCTGCGAGCTCGGGGGCCACAGGTGGGCAGCCCGCCTAGCCCTGCACTGAACCCCACAGACATGCCTCCATTTCGTACCACCACCTATTTTTAAGAATCCTTTGATTATCCTGAAGTGAAATTATACATGGATTGTATAATCTAGCAGGGCACACCTTTTTTTAAAAAAAGAATCCATATAATGATGTAACTATAATATAATGGAGAAATAGGCCAGATGCGGTGGCTCACACCTATAATCCCAGCACTTTGGGAGGCCGAGGCAGGTGGATCACTTGAGGTCAGGAGTTTGAGACCAGCCTGGCCCACATGGTGAAACACTGTCTCTACTAAAAATACAAAAATTAGCCAGGCACGGTGACACCTGTAATCCCGGCTTCTCAGGAGGCTGAGGCACGAGAATCGCTTGAACCCGGGAGGCAGAGGTTGCAGTGAGCGGAGATCACACCGCTGCACTCCGGCCTGGGCAACAGAGCAAGACTGTCTCAAATAAATAAATAAATAAATAATAAAAATAAAAATATACTGGGGAAATAAAAGGAATTTTTTTCTGTGTATGTATACGTATGTATATTTCAATTTGTAAAACTTTCAAGACAACTACACCTGAACACACTGTGAAGTAAATGAGTTAGGGTAAAAGAAGGAAGACAATATTCAATGTATGTATATTCCACAATTTAAAAATAAGGGCCAAGTGACTGTATCTGTGTGTGTGCACGCATGGGCATGTAAAATCTCCACAAATGTGGCCGCTACAGAAAGCAGACGGACACGGAAGGGTCACACTCGTGACTCACGTATCATGAGCAGTGTAGCGACTTGGTATAATTTTGTAAATGGTGAAAATCTCTCGGTAATGTTACAGTTTCAGCTTCTCTTGGTTTATGTGACTGTTGCATTCCTGACACATAATGTACATCAAAACTGCAGAAATAATCCTTCCTAATTTTATGGAGAACAGTGTGAGGTTTCAGGCCTGGATCACCGGATGCAGGATTTCTACCTATGAATGTCTGATGGGGGCTAAAGCCACATGGCCCCCGGGATGGTATTTGCTGGGTGGGCGTGTCCTGTGCCTTGTGGGGACCTGGCATCCTTGGTGCCCATCTGCTCAATGTCACTTGTGTCCCCTCATCATTGTGATGACCTGAGTGACCCCACAGCTTCTGAGATGCTCCTTCAGTGCCCAAAATAAAACCAAACTTCTCATTAGGGTTGGCCCTTAGGCAGGCAGATGCCCCTGGCTCAGGAAGCCCCTCACCAGCTTGCTGAGGCGCGAAGTTCCTTTAGTAGGACAAAGACATCGATGCACAAATGACAGACACAGGAGGCGGCAGCCCCACGAGACGGAAGCTTCTCTGTGGAGCCCGCACTGAACAGCAGCACCAAGCAATAGCCGCTGCCGGGCCCTGCTGTCCTCCTTCTGACCTTGAAGGGCCGGAGCTGCTGCCATAGCGTGACATAAGGGGCAGCCTGGCTGAGCCACATGACACTCGACAAGCCTTTGTGTGTTTGATGAAGCTCCTCTCTGAGCAAGGCCGGCATTTCGATAACCAAGCTGCCTTTGGAGAGGTTGCGTGGACGCTTCGCCCCACAGCCGCGTGGGGCCCACAGCGGTGCCCCTGAGACGTGCACCATGTGAAAATGGCAGAGCTTCCCCCTAGGGAAGTGTTGGACAGGCTCTGGCCAGCCTCCACGCGGGATGGCAGACACGTGAGTGACTCAGGAACCTGCCAGTCACAGCCTAGAGCAAGGGCGTCTACAGAGACTGGGAGTCAGGGCAGTGGGCGTGGGGGACTCTTGGGCCCCAGGCGCTGGACCCCACTGCCTGCCACCCTCGATGTCCCCACGCTGCAGACTGGGCCCCTCTGTCCCATCACAGGGCGTGCAGCTGAGTCCTCGCTTCCCAGGTTTTCGTCTGCCTTTCACTCCAACTCCTCATTTCCTAGAAGGAAGCCTGGGTCCAGTCTTCACCCTGGTCCACTTGGCCACACCCAGAGTGCCAGGGTTTCAGAGCAAACCAGCCCAGTCTCCAGGGTGTGGAGCTGCAGGCACTCACCCCACCGCTGGCCACCACCAGTGATTTCAATGGCCCATCACCGTGGTGCTGATGCGCTGCCCCATAGAAGGGAGAGGAAGGGAAAGACCCAGGAAACATACACAAAAAATCCCCAAAACTAGTCAATGACTAAAACTCAAAGACATCCTGTCAATTAACAGCTCTGCTCTGGGGTTGCTATCTTCCTGTTCATTAGCTTCTTCCTCTTGGCTCCGGGCCTTTGAAGGTGTTTAGGATCAACCCATTTGAAAAGCAAGGACGCTGAGCAAGGAGGCTCCTTCTCTCACAGAAGTGGACAGTCCCAGCACCACGGAGAAATGCATCTCCAAAAACACTCGTGGCTTCCGCCAACTGCACACAACCAGACCTCCTCAGCGCTGACGTAGGGCACAATTGTTCATGCACGAGAGCCGCCTTACGGGGTGAGCGCGTGACTCTGATGTGAGGTTCATGTTCCCAGGGCTGACATGTCTGGGGGCTTCACAGCTGGACGAGGCATGCTTGGAGGGGTGCCTTGAACCTGGACAGCACCCCCTCCTTGCCTCCCTCAGGCCCTTTGGCCACAGAACCTGTGACATGGGCAGGCTCAGGAGAGGAGAGGAGGAAGGGAAGGAACCCAGGCCCCGAGGAGGGAAGATTGCAGGGGGCCGGGGTGGGGTGGGGTGGGGTGGGGACCCACGCGGTTTCGTCCGGAGGACACTGCAAGGGTGGAATAAAACACCCTGCCCTCTTCAGCTTGTAGCGGGTCAGAGGCCACTGGTTTTGAAGAGATTTGCCAGTGATCTGTGGGAGGAAACACTCAGCAGAGGTTTAGGCGGCACGTGGAGCCCATGCGGGGGATACAGCCCAAATGGGGAGGACAGAAGACACTACAGCCACCCAGGGTGTGGGAGCTGCGACAGGTGCCTGTTAGAGCGGCCCCGTTTCGGGGTCCGGCGGGGGCTTCCCTGCAGGGGCAGCCTCTGTGCAGAGGCCTGAAGGGTCCACAGTGGCAAAGGGGGAATGACAAAGTGTCTGGCCATGCGGGACCATGTGTTCTGTGCTATAATCACCCTGTGAGGGGCGCACGCCGCCATCCTAGAGCATCCCAGACACCAGCCCCCGGCCTGCTGGTACTCGCTGGAGGTCCCTGCATGCCGAGTTTCCCACCCTGGCCATCTTTTAGTGTGAGGCAGGAGGGGGCCAGATATGGTGGGGACACCAGCTGCCGCAGATCTCTCTTGCCTGCCCTTTCCTCCGCAGGCTCCCTGTGCCCCCCTGTAGCCAGGAACAGGCCCTGGGGAGTGGTGGGGGTGGCCGCACAGCGCGGCTTGTGGCCCTGGATGCTCCCTTAGGACTGTCTGGGACCAGGCTCATCTTGGAATCCGAATTAACTACAGACCTCACTTCGGGAACAGCCTGGCCCAGCCCTGATACTCGGGGAAAGAGCAGCGGTCGGAGGAGGCAGGAGGAGCACACAGAGGACAAGCTGGGGGCCCACGTGTGGCCGGGACAGCCGTGGCCTCCTCAGCACAGTGTGAGCCCAGCAGCCTTGCTGAGGCTAAGGCCCTGGGCCTGGGAACTTGTAATGCAGTCGCTGACTTTGCTTGGTTAGCAGAAATGGAAGACACCTCATTTGTGGAGACCGAGGTGGTGGAATGCTGACCCTGGGGGTGTTGCTGTGGGAGGCCAGCGAGCTGTTATCCCAGTGGACAGGACCTGGGTGACCGACACCCTGGGGGTCTCCTAACTCCCTGGACCTTCTCCCTTCTTAGTGGAGCTTGGCCAAAACCCACGGACATTTTACATCTGTTTCCCTAAAGTGCTAGGGACGCTCCGTAGTTTCAGCCACGCTCCTCGGGCAAGCCCTGGGATGCGGGCGGGCCAGAACAATGCAGGGTGGGTTGGTAAGTGGGTGTGGCCGGACTCTGGCTCAGCCTGGGTGGACAAGGAGGTATATACAGTTGGCACAGCCAGAGCAAGCTGGTGTCTCAACCCTTCACTCATGGGGCCCATCCCTTTGATGGACTACCTGCTCTTCGTGACATGACGTCGGGACCGGATTCTGAGCTTTGTTGATCTTTGTGTGTTCTGGAAGGGAGTCAGGAGGCGTTTGTGGAACGTGGTTACTGAAAAACGCAGGGCTTCTGTCGCAGGTGAGGTGGTGGAGGTGGCAGCCCAGCCCGGAAGACACCCGGAAGACAGTCACATTTTCAGGCCGCATGTGAAGGGCAGTTTGATCTACACCAATGACTGGAGCAGTGGTCCTGGAGACACACGGGCATCCTCAGAAGGAGGCCAGCAGCAAAGGGGCAGAAATGGAACCACCTGAGCCAAGGGGAGGGTCTGGGCTAGCGACCCGGGGAGAAGTCCCAAAGGGTGGGTGACATCTGCCTGAAAGAAACATCAGAGAAGAGCAGGAGCTGGAGCAGGACCACAGTGGACAGAAGGAAGCACGACTGCAGCTCCCCCAAGCAGACCAGAACTCATTGTCACAACTCAGTAATTCCTCAAAACTCACAAAGCCCGCTTTCATGTTTTGCCAACATTTTTCACATTGTGTTGAAATCCTTTTAGGTCCTAGAGATGTCTTAATTTGTTTACTGTTTGGTTTGAGTTTTGCAATGTCTTTCATGCACATGAGCTTTGAAGCCGGTGAAGCTGACATGCTTTGAAAGTGCGTGTGTGCCAGAGCAAGCCAGCCCCGCACACTGAGGCACACGGAGCACTAACCCCCGGCCTCTCCCTCCCTCTTTCACCCGTTCTGTGCCCATTTATTGGCTGCCTCCTGTACTGGGGTCTTGCTTTGGCACCGAGGAGACTGCAGTCAATGTCGGAGGCTCCTGCTTTGAAGATCCCAAGACCGGGATGGAGACCGATGAGCTGGATCTGTCCCAGCGTGCAATGCAGGGAGGGCTGAGTGCGTCCCCCAACGTCTGTGTCGGAATCTTCACCAGCAAGGCCATGGTGTTAGGAGGTGGGGCTTGTGGGAGCCGGTGAGGTTGTGAGGGTGGAGGCTCACGGGTGGGATTAGTGCCTTTGGAAGGGGGGCCCTGGGAGCTCCCAAGCCCCTTCCGCTCTGAGAGGATGCAGTGGCCAGGGAGCGGGCCTGGACCAGGAACGGAACTGACCGGCCCCTTAATCCTGGACTTCCAGCCTCCAGAACCGTGAGGAGTAGGCGGAGTGAGGCCACACGGCCTGTGAGGACCTGTTGTAGCGACCAGAGGGAAGACAGCGTAGTGGACACACCAGGGCTGGTGTGTGTCCTGCAGCCTCTCTGGGAGCCCAGGGCACCTGTCCCCAGGAATCACACGTGAGAAGCCAAACACAGGAGAGGCTGCGGGGAGGCGGCCCCGGACCCCCGCTGGATGCCTCGCTTTACACACCTGCCACCGTGGGGGACAGTGCCGGCCTCCCAGACCTGCGCCCCAGCCCACAGGCGGAGCACTCCACCCCTGCACTGTCAGGGCCACCGGAGCCTGACGGCCTCCCTCCACTTTCTGCTTGGCAGCCCCTTCCTCAGACAACAAAGAGCATTTTGGTTTTTTCTGAGACAGGGTCTTGCTGTGTCACCCAGGCTGCAGTGCAGTGGCATGATCTCAGCTCACTGCAGCCTTGACCTCCCAGGCTCAAGCGATTCTCCCGCCTCAGCCTCCTGAGTAGCTGGCACCACAGGCGCCACCACGCCCCGCTAATTTTATTTCTATATATTTTGTAGAGATGGGGTTTCGCCAGGTCACCCAGGCTGGTCTCAAACTCCTGGCCTCAAGTGATCCGCTCGCCTCAGCCTCCCAAAATGTTGGGATTACAGGCGTGAGCCACTGTGCCTGGCCATAAAGAACTTTCCGGAGGCTCCTGAGGTGCGCCCACCTCCCAGTCCACCTCCTGCAGAGACCCCATTGGAGGCTGGCCCATGCTCGGTGGCCTGTTCCCATTGTTCTGTGTTCCCATGTCCGCTCAGGAGGGAGCCTGGCCCGCACCCCACAGGGCACAGTCCTGCATCTTGCTCTGAGGATGTGCTTCTTCCTCTTCTCCCACTGTGCCAGGCCCTGCCGCTGCCCCAACACCGTGGATGTCTAGGGCTGTGGGCGGACAATGGCCCTGATGTCCAAGGACAGACGACAGAGGGTGCAGCAAACAGGTCCCCACTTGGTGGCGGTGACGTGTCCGGTTCCTGCTGCGTGCACTGGTTGGTGACAGCAGCAGTGGCTGGATGGAGAGAACCACACCCCTGCCAGTGGGAGGCCTGGCTGGTCACCTGAGCACAGACGCTAGGGCAGAGCCAGGAGGGGACTCAGGATGAACACCGCCACACTGGGGTGGCCAGAGAACCAGGCACGGGCGGGAGGGAGCTCCAGCCTGTTCCCGGTGGCCTGGGGGCCTCATCCGTAGCCAGGGGATGTGAGCAGGGAGTGGCGGCCGCTGTGTGACCCGAGGCTCTGAGATCAGAGTCCCCACCCTGGGCCCCGTTTTGAGGCCTGAAACTTCCATGGTTAGATGGTGATGGGGAGCCTTCCTTCAGGGAAAAAGATAAGGTTACAAATTCTAAAGTATGAAGATAAATCTAAACACAGAAGCATTAAAAAAAATCACATCACAAAGTTTAAAAAGCTGGAAAACGCAATAACACAATATTCGGTGACGGTTTTATTGGTAGCTGCCTGTAATTAATAAACAATCGACCCAGGCCATTTTCCCCACCGCATGGTTGTCTCTTCGCACACCTCTGTAGAATACCAGCTTTCTCCCGGCAGGGCTGCCCGGGATTGTGTTCTAACCTTGGCACCTGAAAGGCAGCCTCCCCATCACAGCTCGCTGCTGTGAGAACGGTCGTGGGTCCGGCTGCAGGACCGGCATTTCCTACCACATCCAGCCTCCCACTGCCAGCTCCGTTTCTCTTGCAGTCCCCACACCTCCCAGGCTGGGAGTACATGTCCCCCTCGCCAGGTGACCTCTGGCCCTGGCCATCCTGTCCTGAGACTCCCTGCTGCTCCTACAGGTGGAGACGACATGACTGGGAACCCTGAAACGTCTCCCAGCAGACCGAGCCAAGTGCGTGTCCAGTTCAGCCTCCCTACGTGGGTCCCTCACACCCCCAGGTCCCTCAGTGCCCCTCAAGGTGAAACGAGCATGACGGATGAACCCTGAGTGGAAGGGGCTGCTGGTCCCAAACACAGACGGCTGAGTTTTCTGCAAGTTTTACAAAATGATAAAACTTTGTGAACGCACTGGCAGGTCCCCAGAGCTCAGCCTTCCTTGTGGTCCTGGCACATTTCCCCTGCCTGGGAACCCAGAGTCCGTGGGCCACGGCGGCCTTCCCTGTGGTTCCGTGGCACATTTCCCCTGCCTGGGAACCCAGAGTCCGTGGGCCACGGCGGCCTTCCCTGTGGTTCCGTGGCACATTTCCCCTGCCTGGGAACCCAGAGTCTGTGGGCCACGGCGGCCTTCCCTGTGGTTCTGTGGCACATTTCCCCTGCCTGGGAACCCAGAGTCCATGGGCCACGACAGGCTGATGCTCGGCTTGGGAGCTTCTCTCCTGTGACAGCCCAGATGCAGAGGCGGTTGCTGGCTGCCCCGGGCCTCCCAGATGGGCACCTGAGGACCCCGGCCTCCTCCTGCTTGGGGTTCAGCCCAAGAGCAGAGCTTCTCAGGCCCTCAATCACCGTGGATGGAGCAGGCTTTCCTGGAGGAAGGACGAGCGCTGTCTGGAATTCTCCATCTTCCGTGAGGGAGGCTGAGCGGATGGCTGGGGGCCCAGAGGGGGCCATGCTTCAACATAGGCAAGAGGGAACCGGCCCTACCCTGCCCAGGGCCACCCTGTCACTGCTCAGACCAACTGCCCCCAGGAGCAGGATCTGCTGCCTCCCACACCCCACCCAGCAGAGAAAGCTGCGCCCTCAGACCCAGACCCCCGCGGCAGCAATGCAGGTTCCGGGTCCCAGCGAGACCCACAGAAGCAGACTCAGTGGAGGGCCCAGAGACCCAGCCCCAACAAGCCCTCTGGGTGGTTCTTACGAGTCTGGACCTGCTGGCTTGACTGCAGACCTGGCCCCGGCCACAGGACCGGCCACCCCAGCCTTGGTCGTGCGAAGCTGTGATGCTGGAGGTCCTTGGCCTGCTCCTCGGGGGTCTGCAGGGACTGGGACAGGTGGGTTTCTTTTCCTGTCCACCGACAGGGTAGGACAGGGACTGGGGACTTTACCCTGTGCCCCTCCCACACCTGCCTGCCTCATGCCACCTGGAGGCTGCAAGCCCCCCTGTACACAGCGGCCTCTGTCCATTTGCAGGCCACCCCCAGCCCTGCCCCCTCCCTTCCTTCTTAGGCACCATCCCTGTCCCTACCAGTCGGTGTCCATTTTCCTGCAAAATAGCTGTATTGCCTAAAAGACCTCTGATCTCAATCTGTACACAAGGAAAGCCTGGCTTCCCCCACTTCCCGCAGCCCGGCTCTGCTGCTTTCTCTCTGGGAAGGAGGGCCCCTCCCAGGCTGGCCTTCTGCTTCCAGCTCCGCTCCTGCCCCTCCAGGTGTGGGTGGATGTCGGAGGAGGCTGTGGGAAGGGGCGGTGAGCAAGGCTGAGGCTCAAGCCTCAGGGGAGCCTGCCCCAGCCCTGGCTGGGTGTGTCTGAGCCAGTGGCCCACACAGGCTTCATGTGGCCTGCCTGGCCATCCTCTCTTGGGCAAGGCTCAGAGCAGCGGGCCTCTAATTGTCCTCTCCACGTACTCTGAACACCAGAGATTAGAGTCTTCGGAGCAGGCCTACCCGGTAGTTAACAGGCATCTGGCATAATTCTCCATGTCTGTCCACAAGGTCCAGAGGAAGGACAGAAATAGGAATCCCAGTGGGGCCAGAGCGGCTTCTTGGGTCAGCCAAGGGCCATGGCTGCCTCGCCTCTGCCAGGACACAAGGCGCTGGGCCGGCTGCAGTGTGACCCTTCCACAAGTTAGGGGTGCGCTGGCCCGGCCTTTGCTGCCTCTGGGGTCTATGGCATGTGGCGAAGGTGACTGGCAGGGGAAGCCTGGACATGGGGAGTGTGCACATGCGTGTGTGCCTGTGCCGATGTGTGCGTGTGTGGATGTGTGCGTGTGTGTGCATGTGTGTGTGCGCGTGTGTGTGCACGTGTGCGTGTGTGTGCGTGTGTGTGTGCATGTGTGCATGTAGGTCTTAGCTCAGACCCTGCCTCATGGCGGACACCACCTCCTGCGTCTCCCCAACACTGGTATGTGCCTTCCCGCATGGTCTACGGGACTGGGCTGTTGCTTTCGTTTCTTCAAGGGAAGAAGACGGTCATTGCCCCGGACCAGGGCAAATCAATTATCTTGTACTAATGGGAATGGCTTTGGGAAGTGCCCACATGCCCACATCTGAGCCAGCACTAGGCACCCCTCCCCTGTTGCATTGTGGACGGTCTTGCCCTCGGCAGCACTGGGGCTCGTGGCCATCTACAGAACGCAACCTTCTGTGACCGATACCCCTGAGTGAGTTACAGCCGGTGTCTCACCAGCCCCCCAGGCAGGCGGGTCCTGGTTCAAGCAGGAGGCATCTCTCGGGTTCTTTATTACACGTGCCTGGGGCACACACAGGATTCCCTTTCACAGAAAGGAGAGGGCCCCCCTGGATGGACCCGTCAAAGAGGCGGCCTCAATGCACGTGGCCCTGCACCAGGCCACGGGGCTCAAGCTCACGCTTGTCTCCAGTGAGCTGGAGGGTGGTGCGGCGGCGTCTTCACCACGCAGACAATGAAGGGGGCAGTGGTGTTCAGGACACAGGGCTGAACCACTGTGGCCTCTCAGTGCTCTGTGTTGGGCCTGAGACTAGCAGGGATACACGGGCCATTCCTCTAAATGCAGAGGACAGCAGGTTTGCACGTGTGCAGGAGTCTCATGCAGGGGGAGGAGCCCTGGGGAGACCCTACCCTGGTGGCCTTCCAGAGCCCACGGTACCGAGGTTGCATTACCCCTGGAGTTCACCGGGGTCAAAGCAGGTGCCATGCATAGCTAGTCCCCCACTCCCCATCTATCACCAAAGCCTCTCCCCTCTACCAACTGGGCTGCACCAGCCCCACCCCAGCCAGGGCAATGGCTTAAGGAAGCCACCAGTGAGCAGAGCGGGTCCCGAGGCCTCACGGCTGAGATGGGAACAGAGTCAGCGTCAGCTCCGGGGCAGTGGGGTCTTTGGAAGCCCTGACCGGGAAGGGAAAGCACAGCCATTGACTGCGGATGGTGGAGGAGGGTCTCTGGCTGGATCTCAGGTGACAGAGCTGGGCTTGTACCTCAAGAAGGGCCTCTGTCTGGCAGGCCCAGCGCTGGCGAACAGGAGTTACAGAGAGGGGTTCAGGTCTAGGAGGAGCCTGGGTCCTGTACAGTGATGACCACTGTGAACTCTGGCTTGGGAGCTGTCTCTCGGGGAGCTGGCAGTGTGGGATACTGCAGAGCCCTCTCTCCAGGGTCTGGGCCCAGCTGTGTCACCTTCTCTCCCAGACTAGGATGGGTGACAGGCTGCCTCAGGGGCCAACACCATGGGTCTCTGGACACTCGACAGCCAGACCTTGAACCTGCTCCCTGGAGACCCCGATGGAAGGAGCTCCTGGGTGCACCGAGGGCAGGGATGAGGTGTGGGACCTGTTTGTCACCTCCAAGGTTGATGTCAGAGCCACTCCACACCTCTTACAGGTGAACCTGTGGAGCGTGCTGGCTGTGGAGGTGTGGGCAGCATCCAGCGGGCAGGAAGGGCCGAGGGCCACGTGGCAGTGGGGTGGGCAGGGGCTGAGCCTGGCGGTGCAGACCGCGCTGCTGGGTGAATGGCGCCTACACCACAAACTCCTGTGGGGGTGGGGCCTCTCCGAACAGGTCCAGGGTGAGGCAGTTGCTGGACCTCTTGCTGTGGAGAGTGGCCCTGTTCTCGCAGGGGGCTGTCAGCCCGCAGTCTGGGGCGCAGCAGAAGGTACGGCTGGGTGAGGTGGGCGCTGGGTGCAGGGCCAGCTGGTGCCGACGTGTGTCGTCCAGGCTGCGGCTGTGCGGCTCCTCGCTGACCCCGGCTTTCATTTCCCAGATCTGCAGGGAGAGGACACGGGGTGAGGCCTGCCACCCCCTCCCGCTCGCACCACCGCAGACAGCAGCCACACTGCTGGTGGCCACAGAGGCACACTCCTTGCCATTGCTCACCCTGTGCCGCTGTGCACAGCCAGCCTGCCCCTGGACGGGCTCCCCCAGCATACGCCTCTGTGAGACAGGCTTGGCGTTTTCTTTTGAAGCATTTTGGGAGGCCCCCACCTTGCCTAGCTTCTTTCCCAGGGCTGCTTTCTGCCTTTTAACTCAGAGGACCTGGACTCTTAGCATTTGGTGTAATTTAGGATCAGGTCTGAGTGTGGGCCTTGAACACCAGCTCTGGAAGCACCTCCAACATCAAGAATGGCCTCTTATTTTTATACGGGAGGAAACTGGGTTCAGAGGTGACTGTCCAAGGTCTCGTCCAGGTGGGCATCCAGTGGGCAGCGTCATGGCCCTTAAGTGACACCTCCAGCCCAAGCTTCTCGGCTGCCATAGTCCCTCAGGTCTGCCCTGGACCGCTGTGTCCCCAGGAGGCAGATAAGGCCCCTGGAGGCTGGCAGCAGGGAGCAGGGGGCAGGGGGCAGGGGCAAGCGGCAGGCCACGCTGAAGGCTGCCCAGCGCCAGGGTCTGACTTGCCCTTCTACGCGTGTTTTCTTGTTTTTAATCAATACGTTTTTCAAGAGTGACAGTCCCTGGCCCAGAGCTCAGGCAGCTTTGGGCGGCCGTCTCCTCCGGAGTGGGCTGACCTGGGCTTGGGATCACCCCCACCGGGATGGGTCCGTGCCTGCCAGGACTTGCAGCCTCCCCTCCCTCCTCCCATGCCCAGCCCTGTTCTCTCTCCATCCAGCCTCCTGTGCCCAGCCCTGTTCTCTCTCCATCCAGCATCACGATAACTAACCAACCACAGCTGATTTTCTCTGTCTTTCCAGGGGGATTCTGGACAGGGCTGACCAGAGGGGGCCTCACCCCGCTGCGGTGGAGTCGGGGGCGGGGGTTGGGAGGGCAACTTGGAGCCTGGCTGGGAACCCTGAGCCCACCTGTTCCCCACCTGGGCATCCAGGAACCACTGGCACTGCCTCTCCTCTAGCTCTCTGGGGGGACCCTAAGGCTCAGGGGCTCCACAGGAAGTGGGGGAAGGCCTGGAGCAGCCCTGCACACATGGGACCAGGTCCCAGGTGGAGGAGGTGGACGAAGGGGATGGGGCAGCCAGTCTGCTACATGGCAGGTCGCAGGGCCCAGGTGTCCAGGTCCTGCCTACAGTGGCCCGGTGACACTCAGGGCCCGGCCAGCCCCGCCCCAGGCAGGACCCCTCACTCCCCACAGCAAGCCGGCTCACTTGGCCTTGAGGCTGAGGCCCCCACCCACGCCCACCCGCCCCAGTGCCCGAGAGCCTTGTTGCTTCCTGACTTGCCCGCTGCGTCTCTGGGGATGTCAGTCGAGGGACCCTCTGATAGGCCTTGGAAGGTCCCCCAGGCCCCTGACAGGGGACCTAGGAGAAGGAGATGGAGGAGCAGGGCCCGGGACTTCTGGCCCATGGCGGGGACTCTACCTGGTGCACAGCCTCGGTGCTCTGGCCTCTGGTCCTGACCTCGGTGCAGGGTTCCTGGCGAATGGCTGTGGGAGGAGGCAGCCATGAGCACAGGGGTCTGGGTTCTGCCTGACATGGCTCCTCCCCAGGGCAGTTCCCTGCAGTTCTGGGGCCCTGATCTCGGGCAGGCTTCTCCCGAGGCTCACACCGCCCCCTTGCTCTCAGTGCAGTGACTGCTTTGGCTCCGTTCCCTGACCTCTGATAAAACGGGCCCTTACTGTGCAGACGCGGGATTAGCACGACGATTCCCGCTGGGTTACAGACCACATGGCTTGCGTAAAACCTCAGAGATGGAGGCCAACCATCCCTTACTGGTGGACCAGACACTCCAAGGGCAACGGTGGACACAGTGGCTTAGTGACAGGAATGCCTGGCCCTGGGAGGCTCTGGTGATGTTTTGTGACCCTGGATGGCCCTGGGTGACTGAGCCCTGGGGCTGGTCCCACCTGATCTCAGCACATCCACCATCAGGGCCGTGGGGACACTCAGAGACCAGCAGAGCTGAGGTCCCCTTTCTGGGGCGATGAGGAAGCTCTTTAGGGCCTCATAACACAGGGACTGGGCAGGATGCATCCTTCAGACGGGATGCTGCGTCCTGGGCCAGGTGGACACACGGTCCTAGAACACTCTGAATGGCTCTCTCTTTTCACTGCTACTCAGCTGAGCATAAAAAGACGTGAGTCTAACCCAGGCTTTCTGACGGGAGGGGCGCTGGTGGGACGGGGCTTCCTAGGAGTAGGGGCTCCTAAGAGTTGGGGGGTCCCTAGGAGTTCATGGGACTTCTTAGGAATGGGGGGCTTCCTAGAAGTCGGGGGGCTTTGTAGGAGCCAGGGGGCTTCCTAGGTGTGGGAGGGGCTCCTGAGATCGGCTTCCAAGAAAGCTAAAGGACCCGGACTCATCTGCAACCCCAAGAGGACCCCACCTCTCCTGTCTGATGCCAGCCTGCGGCTGCCTCTTGGCGGGGACAGGGGACTCAGGCACGGCAGGCTGCAGGCAGCTCCTCCCTGCCATCTCTGTCCCTCCGGCATGTTCTGGCACATTTCCCGGGACTCAGGTCACAGTCAGCCCCAGCCCCTCACGTCTGGCCACTGGAGGGCAGGCCAGGGCTTTGCTGCCTCAGTGTCCAGGGTCAGCCAAGCTGGGGCTGGCTGGGCTGCACTCACTGTCCCTGGGGCCTGGGCATCTCCCTCAGGCCCACCTTGGCTGTCACCACATATGCTGGGGTGGCTGCGGCTGGTCCTGAGGCTGGAGGACGGCTCCTTCTCATGGAGACCCTGGACCTCCAAGGGTGTGTCCACAGACATCTCTCTGGATTCCCTGAGCCAGGAGTCGGCCTCGATGCCTGACGTGTGGGAGCTGCCATGGCTGTCGGTGGAGTGGCGTGAGAGGCGGTGAGGGCAGTGCTGGCTGCTGACCCCGCTGCCCGGGGAGCCCCTGCTGTCCGGGTCCAGCTCCAGCCCATCGCTGATGTAGGACTCCCGGTAGCGCTGCTTCTCTGCAGGGAGCACAGTGAGGACGAGCTGGAGAGGGACCATCCCCGCTGATGCAGGAGGAAGAGCCCGGGAGACAGAAACGCACACCCACAGCTCAGATGAGGACATGAACAGAGAGGGAGACCAGGCCTGTGGGTAAACACTGAGGCCAGGCCTCGTGCTCAGGTGAGGACATGGAACAGGGAGGGAGACCAGGCCTGTGGGTAAACACTGAGGCCAGGCCTCGTGCTCAGGTGAGGACATGGAACAGGGAGGGAGACCAGGCCTGTGGGTAAACACTGAGGCCAGGCCTCGTGCTCAGGTGAGGACATGGAACAGGGAGGGAGACCAGGCCTGTGGGTAAACACTGAGGCCAGGCCTCGTGCTCAGGTGAGGACCTGGAACAGGGAGGGAGACCAGGTCTGTGGGTAAACGCTGAGGCCTTGTCGGAACCTGCGTTTCTTGCTCTTTGTGGGCACATGATGGGAGGAGAGGTGGGAAACAGACTAGGAAACTGAGAAGTGGAAACCTCAGGCGGCTCCTCAAGCCCTCAGCCTCCCCCAGCCCCATCTATAGAATTCCACTCTGGGTAGAGCTGGGGGGCCACCACCTCACCCTTCAACCTGAGCATCTGGGGGATGCGGGAGCCAGGAGGCCACAACAGTGAGAGACAGAGGTGCAGCCGGGCTACAGAGCCCAGCGCGCCCAGCCCAGCCCAGCCCAGAAGGCGCAGTCTGGCTGCGGAACCCAGCGCACCTAGCCCAGCCCCACCTTCTGCCGCCTCCCGCTGTCGCAGCTGCCGCAGTGTGGGCCGCACGCGGAGGTGGAGCTGGTGGCTGGCGCGCAGCAGGTGCAGCAGGTGCCTCGAGCGCCAGGTGCAGCCCGTGTAGTAAACCAGCTTCTGTGCCGCGGGCAGCCCGTCCAGCTGGATCTCCAGCTTCTTCCCCTGAACAAACAGGAGAGAAGGTGCCACCCCACAGGTGGAAAACCACGCTAGCAACGGGAAAGGATGATTTTAAGTGTCAGTCATGGCCCCCAGGGGGACGGGGTTTAGGTTTTCACTTTGCAGTGCAGACGGCTGTTCACGGGCACTGTGCTCAGGGCATGCTCTGCTTTGCCCTTGCTTGAGAGGACACAGCCCTCTTGGCTAGAAAGTGCCCGCAGCTGCGTGAGGGGAGCGGAGGTCTGGGGTGGGATGGGAAGACCTCGGTCTGGTTGTCCAGAGCAAGCCTGCTGCCCAGCAGCCCCCACAGTCGCTGCCCTTTTACGCCCGGCACCCGGGCTGTGGGGTGGCCCTGGGTGACAGCTCTGGGGCCGAGACGAGAGGCACAGAGGCCACACAAGTGCGTTTCTATGACCTGCTCTTATTTTCTCCCTTGGTTTTCTCAATTGAAAGCCAGAAGTTTTCAAGCGATAACAACAACTAGACCTCACCGGGCAGCTAAACACCCAATGCCTGCAGGGCCAGGGTCAGGCACAGAGCCCGTGAGGCCAGGACGGCCCTGAGGCTCCCGAGAGGCCGGCAGGAAGGGACCTGCACCTCGTCGGGAAAAAATGCCCAGAAAATGCCCCAAGGATGAAGCCGCACCTGCCCAGGCTCTCCCGGGCACGGGGACTCCCCAGACACCCACCAGAAATGCCAGCTTCCCAATGTGGGGCCAGGGGAGGTCGTAGAGCAGCTGCGGAGCGCGGTCCACCTCCTGCGGGACAGCAGAGGCAGGGTGCGTCCAGGTGGGGCCAGCCAGCGCCCATGGCCACTGCAGGGGTGCTCCACGGCCCAGACCCCAGCGGGGAAGGGAGGAGGGGGTGGGGGCAGGAGGAGGGGCTCTGTGAAGCTGTAGCCCCTCCAGTCACCTGGTAGATGTGCACTCCCCTGAGGGTCAGTCCCAGGATCACGGTGGGGTGACCTTCCTTCTTATCCTAGAGGGCACAGGTCAGAGGTCAGGTTGCAGGCCTGGGGGCGCCGGGCCTCACTGATGGCAGAGTGTGGTTAGTCTGGCTAGGGGCCGAGGCCTCCATGGACCAGGCTGAGCTCTGGGGCCCATTTACAGACAGTCTCATTCACTCCAGCATCAGACCAAAGGCACAGTTATCACAGCACAAGCCTGCCTTGCATCATGCTAAATAAACATCAGCCATGACCTAAGAGAGCCCTGGCCATGCCGGCCCCGGGGTCCTGATAACACTGTCAGCTTGGGGGGCTCTGGTTACGCCTGCCCTGGGGTTCTGGTCCCACTGTTAGCCATGGGGCCTCCGTCCATCCCTGGCCTGGGGTCCTGGTCCCACTGTTAGCCATGGGGCCTCCGTCCATCCCTGGCCTGGGGTCCTGGTCCCACTGTTAGCCATGGAGGCTCCGTCCATCCCTGGCCTGGGGTCCTGGTCCCACTGTTAGCCATGGAGGCTCTGTCCATCCCTGGCCTGGGGTCCTGGTCCCACTGTTAGCCATGGAGGCTCCGTCCATCCCTGGCCTGGAGTCAGAGTCCGGCCTGTCGCTGGCCGCCCTGGGCTCAACCTTGTGCAGCCTGAAGAAGTGCACGGGTACGTCCTCCAGCCGGCAGGCCTCCTGGATGAAGCACAGCACGGCCTCCTTGGGGCTCAGGCCCTGGCGCTCACGGTGCAGAGCAGGCATGTGCCGGAGGATGTAGTCAATCCCCCTCTTGGTGGTGATCTGAGGACAGAGCCGAGAGGTCAGCTCAGACCCCTGCTGGTCCCCCCTTCGTCCTCACCGGCCCCCTGCTCCGAGAAGCCTCCCCAGACTCCCACAGCTGGTGCCGACCTCAGTGGGCAGGGCCGGGGCCTGACTGCTGAGCCCAGACCCAGAGATGGTCTCGGTGCCCGCTCTGGCCCTGGGCTCTGTCTGATTTCCTGTCCCCCTCGGACCCTCCCCAAGGGAAATGGCAGCAGCCAGCCCTCCGCAGGCGTCTGCAGGTGGGGACTCCACTCTCAACGAGCCCTGGCTCTTGGGAACCTGCCCACTGAGGACCAGCTGGGGCCACCACCGGGACGGGGGTAAGACCCACAGGGACATGGAATCACTGAGGGTGGAAATGTGCCCAGAGGCCAAGGGCAGGTGTGGCGTCCACAGCACTGGGAGGAAGCCTGGCTGGGCCCCACCCTGGCCTCAGCGACTGCCACTCAGAGCAAAGGCGAGAAGGCCCCAAGGTGCACAGGATAGAGAGGTACACAGTGATGAGCGGTCAAGGAGAGAAATCTAAAAGTTCACCCGGAACAGGGCCTGCATCCCCGGGGTGACAGCCATCAACCCACGAGGCCAGCAGGCCAGACAGCGCCTGGGACCGGGCACACAGCGGCACGGCCCACGCCTCTCCGTGGCCCTCCTCCCAGGGGTACAGCACTCCTTCCCTTACAGGTGAGGAAGCTGAGGCTCAAAGGCTCCTACGGGTCCCAGGATACTGAGAGAGAAGCGAGAAGGTTCAGAGCCATGAGGCCCGCGTGGTCACATTCCACAGCCAGGCTACCGAGGGGCTCAGAGAGGTGAAGCCAGTGAGCAAGGCCACACAGCTGGCCGGGTGCGTCAGGAGCACAGGCACCCAGACCTACCTGCTCTGGGCCACTCCTCCCACACCGCCCACCTTTGGGGGTGGTAAGGACCCTTGGGTCTTCAGGAGAAAAGGACAGATGACTGCCCTGTGTCCATCCCCTCCAGCATCCCCTGCCAGGCCCCCAGGCCCCTGCTCCTACAGACGGCACCCGGTGGAGGTGGACAGGCACCAGGCCAACGGTGCTGGGAGGAGGCAGGCCCCGACCTTACCCACTGCGGGAAGTAGGAGTGTGGCTCGAAGTACCTCCCGGTGTGGGCCGGCTCCCGGTGGTCGCCCAGGTCAGCCTGCAGCGCGCAGGCAGCCAACAGGAAGTAGGCCTCCTCCCGGTGGGCGCACTGCGACCTCAGCACACGCTCCTTCAGGTGGCAGTAGTACAGGTGCCGTGCCCTGTGGTCGCTGGAAGGCGGGGGGTGAGTTCCGGAGGCGGTGGGGCCGGCTCGGTGCCGCCCCCAGCAGCTCCAGGGCTGCGAGCCCTGGTAGCCGTCGCTCCCGGTGCCGCAGGGGGGGGGCGACCTGAGGGCGCAGGTGGACCGAGGTGGAGTAGCAGGTCCGTCCCCGTGGTCGGCCTGGAAGGCGGAGGTAATTCATTGGATCACAGGAGCCGGGCGGGGGATTGCCGGGCGGGAGGTTCGCCCAAGATGCAGGTACAAGATCTTCTCATGTAATTCCCCCAAACTGGCCCCATAACACCAGGTAGCTCCATCCATCAACCCAATACCTTCCAGACCTTCTCTGCAAGGCTCTCCAGAACCTTCCACATATTCACACACCCCCCACCTTCCACATATTCACACCCCCCGAACTCTCCAGAACCTGCCACACAACCGCACACCAACGTCTCCAGGACTCTCCACACAACCACACACCAGCGTCTCCAGGACTCTCCACACAACCGCACGCCAACGTCTCCAGGACTCTCCACACAACCGCACGCCAATGTCTCCAGGACTCTCCACACAACCGCACGCCAGCGTCTCCAGGACTCTCCACACAACCGCACACCAGCGTCTCCAGGACTCTCCACACAACCGCACACCAAGTCTCCAGGACTCTCCACACAACCACACGCCAGCGTCTCCAGGACTCTCCACACAACCACACGCCAGCGTCTCCAGGACTCTCCACACCACCACACGCCTCTCACTCTCCAGAACCCTCCCGCACGCCCCTCACTCCCTAGAACCTTCCACACAACCGGACACATCCCTTTTGGAACTGGGGGGGGATGATGCCTACTTAGGGAATTCCTGGGAAACCCCCTTAGGTTTCGCCCCAGGGAAAACCCTGTTCTCGAATCCCTGAAGCTCTGCTCTGGAAGTAAGTTTCAGGATCCTCCTGAGGGACATCTTTTGTTTTCCTAGAAACTCTAAGGCAGCTCTGGAAGAAGTGGCCCCTGTTGGTTTAGAGTGCAGCCCACCAGAGGTACAACTTCTCCTCTCCTGCCGGGGAGAGCTTCCCACTAGACACCTGCAGAGTGGGCAGCGAACAGCGAGAACCGCCGTGCAGAAAGCGCAGGAGCCCTTTGCCCAGCGGCCTCTGGAAGCCTCGCCCAGCCCTGGACGGTGTACCCCCCCTAGCGAGTACGAGTCCTGGCGTTTGAGGAAGCACTACTTTAGGCCGGACGCGGTGGCTCACACCCGTAATCCCAGCACTTTGGGAGGCCGAGGCGGGTGGATCACCTGAGGTCGGGAGTTTGAAACCAGCTTGACCAACGTGGAGAAACCCCGTCTCTACAGGAAATACAAAATGAGCCCAGTGTGGTGGCGCCCGCCTGTAATCCCAGCTACTCTGGAGACTAACGCAGGAGAATCGCTTGAACCCGGGAGGTGGAGGTTGCAGTGAGCCGAGATTGGGCAAGTAGAGTGAAACTCCATCTCAAAAAAAAAAAAAAAAAGAAAAAGAAATAGAAGTACCAATTTATGACACAGTCTGTATACCTTTCAATTAAATAGAATTCCTGTGTTCCCCCAAAGCAAACAGCCAATATAGTGGTGTTTGTTTGTTTGTTTGTTTGTTTGTTTGTTTGTTTTTGGAGAAACTCAAATGTAATGTGTGGCCTTCATGGGACTTCTATGTCATGTGGCAGATTTTCAGTATTCCAGGAAACATCCTTTAAAGTCAGCATGCCGTTACCTTATGACCCTTCCGTTTTCCACGTAGTGCTGCACCCGGAGGAACGCCACGAAAGGGGCTCTGGGTTTCTCATTTTCCTGGTGGGGAAAATACAAGAAAGAGCCAGTGAGCCACAGGGAGGTGCCCCTGGCTGTCCTGTCTTCCCCTTTTGGGGGGAGGGGCCTGGATTGCTTCACACTCAGTTCAAAGCCGAAGCTCAGGTGTCTGCCGCCAGAGCTGACAACTCGACTCATGGTAATTTCTATGGGAAAACTCTGAGTGGGACGTGGTCTACAGCGTTCAAGAACATCTGCCAAGGCGGGCTTCGGGGTGGGCTCACCTGCCTGCAGCCTCTGGGCTCACTGCAGTCCCCTGCGGACGGGGCAGCTGCGTGGACAGAAGGCAGCACATCCCCACGGTCCAGCACAGTCCACCGTGGTGCCCTGCCCTCTCCCACCCCATGCATCCCTGTGGTCCAGCACAGTCCACCGTGGTGCCCTGCCCTCTCCCACTCCACACTCTATGCTTACTTCATATATTTCTTTCTTCCAGTCTTTTGAGAAGTACTTGCTGAGCTTTTGCTCCAAATCCATAAATATATACTCATTGTCTGAAAGCAAAACAAAAGGCTTCATCAGAGTGGTCACCATGCTTCTCAGGTGTCACCATTTGTTCAAAACTGAGTGTGGCTTTGAGAGAAGAGACGCACAGCTGAAAACTGCGTGTCTCCAACTGATGCTGTGTACGGGGCTTTCCTTGGCTGACAATGCAAAGAGCATCCTAACACATGTGCAGGTGTCAAATGCTTGCTTACTAAAACGATGTTCCAGTGTGCAGGAATATTACAAGCTGATATTCAAAACTGGCACATGCTCCAGGCACGCCCTTAGGGAAAGCAATTTAGCAACATGTATCCCTCCCCTCTTCCTCTGCAACCCAGGCACTCGTCTCTCAGCTATGGAATGAGTCATTTGAAAAATAGAGATGTCAGGGTTGGATGCGGTGACTCAAGCTTGTAATCTCAGCAATTTTGGAGACCAAGGCAGGAGGATTGCTTGAGGCCAGGAATTCAAGACAAGCCTGGACAACATAATGAGACCTCAGTCACCACAGGAAAAAAAAAATTAGCCAGGTATGGTGGTGCATGCATGTAGTCCTAGCTACTCAGGAAGCTGAGGCAGGAAGATTGCTTGATCCTGGGAGTTCAAGGCTGCAGAGAGCTATGAATGTACCACTGCACTCCAGTGTGGGTGATAAGAGTGAGACCCTGCCTCAATCAATCAATCAATCAATAAAAATAGAGATGTCTATAATCTAGTACTAAGTTGATCAACTTCAAGTCAATGATCCGAGTTTTACCTGTTAACCTAGTTTCCCTGGAAACTGCAAGAGATGCTTCTTCCTAAATTAGGTGTTTCTATATTTTAAAAATATTTGCCACCATGTGTTTTCTTTATGGCCTGGAAATATTAAACAATTTTCCTAGAGAGGAAAATAAAACCTAGAGAGATACCCTTCGTGCTGTGACTTAAAACTACGCATGATCCCTCCGTGTCTGCTGGGAATTCATTCCAGGACTCCCCTCAGATATCAAAACCTGGGGATGGTGTATGTGACTTAAAACAACGCATGATCCCTCCGTGTCTCCTGGGGATTCATTCCAGGACGCCCCTCGGATATCAAAACCCGGGGATGGTGTTGAGCTCGCGTGTACCCTACACACATCCTCATGTACACTTTAAATCATCTCGAGATTCCTTAAGATACCTGATGTAATGTAAATGCTGTGGAAATCTTTGCTATACTGTGCTGTTAAGCTTGTATTATTTTATTGTACTATTTATTATTATTTTGAGTATTTTCAACATGAGGTTAGTTAAATCCGAGGATGCGGAACCCACAGCCCTAGGACTGAGTCCCTGAAATACACTCGAGAGGGAAGTCACCGCCCAGAGGAGCCCGGGAGCAGTTGCCGGCCGCAGCAGTGGGTGCCTCAGGAACAGTGGCGGTGCAGGCTATTCCTGAAACTTTTACTTTATTCTCTGGCCACTGACCACACCAGTTCTGGCCGTCACCTCACAGATACCTCCCTGGTGACAAGTCAACCAGCAGAATCCAAAAACATCATGCTGAGTTCCCGTACAGGGGTCCCCAGGTGAAGGCAGGGCCAGGGCCATGGCTGGCAATGCATGGGAAGGCTACGATGGGGCCCGGGGTGACGGGCAGGGCCCACCTGAACGTGGCCTCTCAGGGTCACAGCAGTCAGCCCCGGTTCTGCCCAGCCTGTCGGCCCTCACGGTCGGGGCCTGACAGTCCTGAGAGGCGCGGGGGCCAGGGAGCTCACTGTGTTCCAGGCTCAGCGGAGCCTGGCGTTGCCCTTGCTGAGGGTGGAATCATGCCCCCCAGATGCATACACTGAAGTCCTGGCCCCTGGCACCTCAGTTCCTGTATTTCGAGATAGGGCTTTTACAGAAGTCATTGAGTGAACATGAGGTCATTAGGGTAGGCCTTCATCCAAGAAGACCAACATCCTTATAAAAACATGGAAACTGCACAGAGAGAGACACACACAGAGGGAAGACCATGTGACCACACAGAGAGGCAGCCATTGGCAGGCCCAGGAGAGAGGCCTCAGGAGAAGCCATGCATGCTGGCACCTTGGCCTTGGATTCCACCCTCTGGAACTGAGACACAGATGTGTGTGGTTTAAGCCACCCCATCCGTGGCAGCCTGGTGGCTCAGAGTGAGGTAGGAGGCATGAGTTGACTCGGCAGGGGAATGGGACTCAGATACTGGACCAAATTGAGGACTAGCTAAAACAGAGATGGGGGAGGCAGCTTCCCATAAGACACGCCCACCAGCCGCGGGTCAGTTTACCATTGCCATGGCAACCCTGGGAGGTACCGCCCCTTTCCAGGCCAACAACCCGAGGATGTGAAAGTTCCCGCCTTTTTCCAGAAATGTCTGCATAATCTTCTCTTTAATTTGTATATAAGTAGAAGTGGGTATGATTCTGAGTGCAGCCCTGCCTCTGAGCTGCTGCTCTGGGCGTGCTACCTCCGGGGGGGCCCGGCTCTGCACCGAGCTGTGCCTCTGCTGCTGCCATGCATGGCTGCTTCCATAAGAACTGCTGTCTAATGCCACCCGTTCGCCCTCGAATTCTTTCCTGGGTGAAGCCAAGAACCCTCTGAGGCTAAGTCCCAACTTTGGGCTTGCCTTGCCTACCCTTCATCAAGAGGACCCGACGGAAGCGGTGGCAAGGCCAGTCTCGGCAGGGCTCACGGGGCCGGCAGTGTCAGCGTGCCTTCCCGAGAGTCCGTGGGCTCCACACTCTCCATTCATGATTTGGAGCTGAGGCCTTGAGGTGCGTGATTCCCCCAATGTCCTCAGAACCCTGCCAGACCCGGCTGCTGGCTCCGGCCCTCTGGGCTGACTGGACTTGGCAGCCCTATGTCCCTGACCAGGCATCTCCCGGCTCAGGCCTTGCTTTCCTGCTGGCGGGGCCAGACTGTGGACTGTGATTGAGCACTGGAAACAGGAGCCTGGAGGAACCTCAGAGGCAGGGCAAGTGCCAAAAGCCACCTGACAAGGCTGCCTGCTGTCCGACTGCCCCGTGTGACATGTTGAAAGGGACTCCGCTGTGATGCCAGTGGAAGGCGCCGTGGGTTAGCCGTCATGGGGGAGGAGGAGGAACAGGCCGAGCGTAGGACTTTCAGGGTAATGAAGTTCTTCTCTGTGACACTAAGGTGACAGACATCTGGCATTTGACACTTGTGCAAATGCAGAGAACGTGCCACACCAGGAGGGAGCCCCGAGGTCCACTCCAGACTGCGTGACACTGGTCACCGTGGGCTCCTCAGCGGGGACAGACACACCACCCTGGGGAGATGTTGGCAGCACAGGAGGCTGTGCGTGCGGGGAGTTCACATGGGAAATCTCTCCCTTCCACTCAATTTTGCTGTGAACCATAACTGCTGTAAAAAATAAAGTCTTAAAATCCTAAGTAAGGTCTCTTTCGCCTCTGAGATTCAAGGCTCCCCAGGGAGAAAAAAAACCTGTAACTCAGTCACAAAAATCTGAATTTGCAGCAAACATGACCTGCCTGCCCTGCACCAAGCTGCCGCGAGCCCCCACCGGAAGCACCAGGCTGCCACGAGCCCCCACCGGAAGCACAGAGGTTTGGGAGAGGTAAGGCGTTCTTTCTAGAACACACTGGGGAGACTGTCCTCACACCAGCACTCCCAGAACCCAGGGCAGTAAGCAGTGGGCAGTGGAGTCAGGTAGGCACAATTTCCTCTCGGTCAAGAGTCAAATCACCCAGCATCCTTCCTTGTGCAGTGTCGGGGCAGAACAGGGGAGCCTCATGCTGGGGGAGCCCAGGGACCTGGTCCAATGACATGGACGCAGGGTCCCCAGCAGACTCTGAACAGCATGAACCCTGGAGGGCAGCATGGCCACCCTCATAGTCACCGCCATCCTTGGGCAGAACCTAGTGCAGGAGGTAGCCCTGCGGGCAGCCACCAGACAGCAAGACTGTGGTGCAAAAGGTACTTCTAGTAGTTCAGACTCACAGGTGACTTAAAACAACATACAATCCCTCTGTGTCTGCTGGGAATTGGTTCCAGGACACCCCTCGGATATCAAAACCCGGGAATGGTGTTGAGTTCGTGTGTACCCTACACACATCCTCGTGTACACTTTACATCATCTCGAGATTCCTTATAAAACCTGATGTAATGTAAATGCTGTGGAAATCTTTGTTATACTGTGTTGTTAAGCTTGTATTATTTTATTGTTGTACTATTTATTGTTATTACTTTGAGTATGTTCAACATGAGGCTAGTTAAATCCAAGGATGCAGAACCCATGGATACAGAGCACTGTCTACTCTTATTTATATTAGAAAACCTGCAGTCCTGAGAATAAAAGCCACAGGGAAAAATTAGTCCCAGATATGGCAGTACTGCCTTACAGCCACCTGCATTACATATGAAGATACTCCATCCCCAAGTGCTCGCACGTTCTGCAGATAAAGGAAGACACCAGTGAGGAAGATTTACCCACAGAGGCCTGCAGAAAGGGCATCACAGGGCCGGGTGCCTGGCTTGGCCCCTCTCTGCCCTGCCTGTCTTTCTAATGTTTAGTACCCTGCTCTTCTAGATGGCATTAGACCCAGAGGGGAGGCTGCAGGGCTGGGTGCATGGCTCAGTCACTCTCCGCCCTGCCTGTCTTTCTAATCCTTAGTACCCGGCTCTTCTAGACGGTGTTAGACCCAGGGGGAGGCTCCAGGGTGTCACCAGCCCCAGTTTCCTTTTGTGTCAGGGAGGATCAAACACTTGGCCTCATCGGTAACAATCACAGCAACTCGCTGCTTGGACACTGCGTGCCATGCTCTGTGCTAAAGACTCTCAACCAATCCTTACATCTTTAACCTGATGGCACTGTTATCTACTCCCATCTCACAGATGGGGAGGCCTAGGCTTGCAGAGGCCATTCATAAGGGAGTCCCCACCCCACTCCCTAACAGGCCAAGGACCCTCAAAGCCAGGGGTTAGCAAACCAGGGCCCCAGGCCAAACCCCAGCAGCCACTTGCTCTTGTTAACAAAATCTTGTTGGAACACAGCCACAATCGTTCTATTATGTCGTGTCCATAGCTGCTTTCATACTGCAAAGTCAAAATATTTACTATGTGGCCTTTTACAGAAAAACTCTACCAAGGCCTGGTCTAAGCAAATGCTGAGTGAAAAGGTCTGGATCACCATTCTCTGGTCCTGACTCCCCCGAATTCACCATTTGGGTACTCGAGCTTGAACTTCAGTGTTTGCAGCATGAGTAGCAGATCTGGGGTTGCTAAAGGATCTGGGGTTACCTTTGCCTCAGTAAGGTCAGCAAAAGGCCCTTTATTTGTACGTTCATTACCTAAATCACCCTGCTGTGTCCTTCCAAACTCCACCTCAAATCACAATGAGAAGGAGAGAAAATGAATTTTTCAAGCTTAGTCCTTCCTAGTGCTTAACGTCAAACACTATGAGAACAATTCCTGCGGCAACACCAATCTGGAAGACAAAGCCACTTGTTTCCCAAA